AAAACCCTTTTAAGACCAACTACACCAACAAGATTATAGATTTATATCTGAACTTTGGCTCAGATCTCTTGCTTTAAGAGTGCCCAATGAATGGTGCACAGAACTACCACATTATTTGCTACTTTCTTTCTTTCCAATTTTTGGCACATAATTTACATATCATACAACAGTCTGATCATTCAATTATATCAAGAATTTTACAATCATTACCCTCTCAACTTCAGAGCATTATCCCCCACCCCAATGGTTAAATCGCCTTTAAAATGAGTTGTACGATCACAATCAGGTCTAGTGCTCCCTCTCCCTTCCAGCCTTATTTACTCCTGATAACTCATTTCCCTATCACCCACCACCCATCCCTTCATTTCCTATAACCCCTTGTATCCATTATTATCATTATGCATCCACTTCTCCTGTGCTTCACAGCTGGGAAACCCAGAAGAAAACTATAAAAAACAAAATCACACTAAGGTGGTAAGGATAAAATCATAATAGTATAAAGACAAAAACACAAATAATGCTTAAGAGATCCCCAATAACATTCAAAAGGCCAGAGAAGAAATCTTTCATGGAATAAGAGATACTTGCACATAGAAAAATATCAGGAAGCTATAGGGAGGTCAATGGGCCAAGTATCAATTTCAATTCAGCATAATGAAGATTACAGTGGTCTCTGACAGTAAGGCTGTTCGGGACCCTTGCCTATAGCAAGAGCGGTCTTTCCAAACTGGATACTCTGCAGATGAGTTTGGGGCTCCCACTGTCCCCCAAAGCCCTTCACAATTTTGGTGTTCATGATTTTAGCTCTGATACTTTTCTGTTCACCATATCCAAATTTTATTAATTAAATTCTTTGGATCACACAAGCTGGTGTGCTTTTGTGTTGACTTAGTTGACTCCTTACTTAGATGCAGAGGTGCAGTCCTTATTGTGAAGCATCAAACTGAGAAATCCTCAGAGGACTCCTGGAAAGGTGCTAAAATTCTCAAAAGTCTCTAAAAGTCCCCTCACCCTACCCCACTTACTCCAGTCTAAGGCAGTGAAGTTTGTGGACTAGAAAAAATAGCTTTGGGTTAGTGACTAAAGATCAGATGAGACAAAAGAATTATCTCAGTTGATGATTGTTAGCAAAACTGACCCAATTTCTGAAGCTCTTCACCATGCCTTGGCATTATATAAGACCCTTAAAACTTAGAATGAAGTCTAGTAAAGATGAAGATACCTACTCTAAGTATTCTCCTAAATCCACTTCGAATTATTCCCTGGATTCTTTCCCTGCCTTCCAAGCAAACTCCAAAGACTTGAAGGTCAGGTTCAGCTTCCACTTCCAGTGCACGGAGGTCCGAAGTTGCTATATGAAATATATTGTATTTTGCATATTTCTTGCTCACCTGTATTCATTTACTGAGATTTGTGCTTGTCACCCATAAATCTTCCACACTGATTTTACTAATGATTTGAGATGACTGATTATTCAATCTCAAAATGAATGTTGGTTTTTCTTATCATGATAAAAAGGTCACTGCAAATTAACATTTTAAGAGTTAAAATATGCTCAGCATACAAGAGAGACGGGTGTTATACTCTAAAAGAAGAATGAACGCAATTGAGACGGGTGTTATACTCTAAAAGAAGAATGAACGCAATTCAGATCAGCAGTCATTGAATGCCAGTTACTGAATGCCACTGAGAGGTTATTCCGCTAGCTGCAGACTATAAGCTTTATAGTATAAGGAAACTGAAAACTAGAACCGAAAATTAAGTCTTGGTATCCCATACACACACACACACACACACACACACACACACACACACACTATATGAAGGGTTTCCAAAAGTTTGTAGAATGGAATTAAAAAATAAGGGAATTGTAACTTTTTGAAGCCCCTTCATATATATAAAGGTTAAGGCATAGAAGTAACATTAGGCTTTGATAGCCACCGGGTTTTGCTTAGCAAGCAAGAAAGCAAGCAAACGTCCCAACTGCTTATGCGAGATTTATGAAACTGGCTGAAAAATATGTTAACACTAATATAAATCATTGTAGACAACATTGGCAATATTCTGTAAACTTGGTCTACTTCTATTTTTTTTATTTTATTGGGGGTTCATACAAATCATCACAACCCGTATCTACATCAATTGTGTAAAGCACATTTGTACGTTCATTGCCCTCATCATTCTCAAAACATTTGCTCTCCACTTAAGTCCCTGGCATCAGCTCATTTCCCCCCTCCCTCCCATCCCCCCCTCAGGAACTCTTAATTTGTAAATTACTATTTTGTCATATCTTAGTGTCCAACGTCTCCATTTGCCCACTTTTCTGTTGCCCGTCCCGCAGGGAGGTTATATGTAGATCCCTGTAATCAGTTCGTCCTTTCCACCCACCCAGTATCACCACTCTCACCACTGGTCCTGAAGGGATCATCCATCCTGGATTCCGTTTCCAGTTCCTATCTGTACCAGTGTACATCTGGTCTAGCCAGATTTGTAAGGTAGAATTAGGATCATGATAGTGGGGCGGGAGAAAGCATTTAGGAAATAGAGGGAAGTTGTGTTTCATTGTTTCTACACTGCACCCTGACTGGCTCATCTCCTCCCCGCGACCCTTCCATAAGTGGATGTCCAGTTGCCTACACATAGGCTTTGGGTCCCCATTCCATACTCCCCCTCATTCACAATGATGTGATTTTTTGTTCTTTGATGCCTTATACCTGATCCCTTTGACACTTCATGATCACACAGGCTGGTGTGCTTCTTCCATGTGGGCTTTGTTACTTCTGAGCTAGAAGGCCGCTTGTTTACCTTCAAGCCTTTAGGACCCCAGACGTTATATCTTTTGATAGCTGGGCACCATCAGCTTTCTTCACATTTGCTTATGCACCCGCTTTGTCTTCAGTGATTGTGTCGGGAAGGTGAGCATCAAGGAATGCCAGTTTAATAGAACAAAATATTCTTGCATTGAGGAAGTACCTGAGTGGAGGCCCAATGTCCATCTGCTACCTTAATACTAAACCTATAAATATGTGCACATAGATCTATTTACCCATCCTCATATATAAATATATTCACATATATACATGCCTTTAAATATCTCTATAAATGGCCTTTGCCTCCTAGCTCTTTCCTCTATTTCCTTTTACTTTCATCTTTTCCTACTATCGTACTCAGCCTTCATTTGGGTTTTAGTAATTCCTCTTGTTTACATTACCCTTGATCATGCCCTACCAGGCCTCCTACACCCTCCTCACCACCGATTTGGATCATTTGTTGTTCCCTTGTCCCTGGGTTTGTTAACACCACTTCCTTCCCCCTCTTCCATATTTTTTGGAAATATGAAGTGTTTACTTTTGGATGGTTTTGTTTCTGATCCAGAGAACATTTCAGATACCAAGAAATACAAATTAAAAACTTCAAATCTCCCGTTGTTTTCCCCTCCAGATTGTTCATCCAACCTATCTTATTTAGATAAATCTGCAGATAACATGCACAAAAACAAGACAGAGCAAAACCAAGCAACAAAAGAAAACAAAACAACAAAAAGCCAATGACAAAATACCCCACAACAAAAAAGAATAGCTTGTAATTAGTTCAAGGACTGTTTATTGGCCTTGAGGAGTGTTTTCTGGTCGAGTCCGATGGGGTGCCACGCCCTGGGCCAAAAGTCTATTTTTGGTATTCCCTGGGGACTTCATTGCTCTGCTCCCCTTGCTATTCTGTTGCATACCCTTAGTGTTTTGCCTTGGTGTGGTGGGATCAGATAGGATGGAATTCCCACACTGTGTCTCCAGTGTTGTCCCCTGTAGGGCTCTAGGTCAGTGAGGGATGTTGTGTCCCACAGTGAGGCTGGCTATATGGTCTTCTCTGTGGATTGACTGCTCTGAGCGGGAATATCGTCCTCATGACTTGGTGGTCCAGGATGGCTTGGGGGTCCAGGATGTGCTCCACTCTCTCTACCTCTCCCCCTTCATTTTATCCCGTGTGCTCTGGTCAGACATGTCCCTCTCCCTGAGCTTCAGCCTTAGTGCTGTCCTCTAAAATAAATTTTTCTGTGGGGAGGGGCAGGTGTCCACATAGTTGGGATTGGGGTCGGCCCCTCACACCTCTCCATTGGTTCTCTACTCCATGCCGGCATGTTGCATTCACATCTTGGAGAACCGAGTGGTCTATTTCTTAAAATCATTTGTATTAAGAAACTTTTTCATGTTTATTGATAATGTATATTCGCAGAAACGTGGCAAAACACTAACACTTAACTACTTTTCTATCAAACGTTAAGTCTTTGAGCTGGTATTTAATATGCTTAACATTGAACCAACATAATAGAATAAATTAGTCAAACTTTTCAGAAGAGGCCTAATTTAAAGTATGAAGCATCTGAATAAAATTATTTTTCTCAAACATTATTTCAAGTGTATATGTATATAATTATGTCTCAAGTAATGTGAAAAGTTATACTTTTAAAAATAAAAGGTGTTCTCAACTGCACAATCCAATGCAGTAGTCATTAGCCACATGTTGCTATTCTAATTATGAATGTGTTAAAATGAGATAAATTTTAAAGTACAGGTCCTCAATTGAATAAATTACATTTCAAGTGCTCAACAGCGCCATCTGTCTAGTAGCTACATTATGGGACAAGGTAAACTTATAGACTATTTCTATCAATTCTTATCTAGAATTTTTTTTGGAAATATGAAGTGTTTACTTTTGGATGGTTTTGTTTCTGATCCAGAGAACATTTCAGATACCAAAAAATACAAATTAAAAACCTCAAATCTACCAATATAATGTATGGTATTATATTACTTCCATATTAGCTTTATTACTAATAATTTGCAAAATTATTTACAAAACTGAATGGTAAAACCATAGACTCTTAGATGAATTCGCCTAAGTAACTCAGGTCAAAATTCTCTTCTCTTGCATGGAAAGTTTTGGGATTTGAATTTATCTACTTTTTAAGACCATTCTTGGGCTGTACTAAACATATAAAGATATACAGAGAAACACTGCCATTTTATTAAGCTAAAGTCGGCTAATACAGAAAATGATTCAGTGAACACTTTTACAATAAATCTTCTCTATCTTATTTTTATAAAACCAGGTAATCAGTTAGAGAACACAATTTTAATACAGATCTTCTATATCTTATTTTTATAAAACTAGACTATTTTACCAATACTCTAAAACTTAAATTTTCAAAATATTTATCATATGCATTTGTTCTACAAGTTGGTCACAGAAATAACAAGTCCTCTCATGAGTCAAAAAAAATACTACAGCTTGTCAATTTTCACACAAACAATATTGTTTGATACTACTTTCTATGACTCGGACATGACTTAATGGCGAGTGAGTGACAATAACAGTAAGAAGTGATTTCAGTCATGGGTCTCCAGCTTATCGCCATAATTAAACTCTGAACTCTCACAAACAGTGGTAATGACTTTTTGAACAATAATTAAGGATGCTATAAATGAATGCAATTGAATATATTTAAGAGATTGAAAGAGTCAAACAGCAAAATATTTCTTAAACACAAGCAAGATTTTCTACATCTGAGACATTCAAGAGCTTTCTAGTAAGTAAGTGCCTATAAGCCAAATGGAGCTACTTTTTCAAGTTTCAGCTAAACCTGCCTGATCTTTAAGGCTACTTTCTTAAAAATAAATTTCTCATCATTTTCATGTAAATTTTTAAGTACTTATTTATATACAACTAGTTACGACTATCAGAAAAACAAGGTAAAACTTTAAAATGTTTTAGAAACTCACAATAACCCTTGTATCTACAGATTCCTATTACTTATAATGAACTATTTTTAAATTTAAATGAATTCAGTAGAACCTGTCTACTGAAGTAATTCCTTTGGTGATGTGCATACCTCCATGATAAAATATTATCAAAGAATACTGTTCTCCTCAGGAGTAAATCAAAAGAATAGTTCTCTCGAAAGCTTAGCTCAAACCATGTGATGCCAATCCTACGGTTCCTTTATTGGTGGATGTATAACTAAGCCGACCTGGAGGTTTTGATGATATGTAAACCATATCTCTCCTAGGAAGCAGCAGAGTTTATGATTTAAGTGACAAACACTTAAAGTGTCTACTCTATGTATTCAGTATGCAAGTTACTCCGCCCACATCACTCTTCCTCCCCTCTGATACTATGGCTCCTCACCTGATCACCTTGATTTGCTTCATAGATAAACTGGTGCCCTGTCTCTGAGTTAAATGTGCCACTCTCCATTCAAACAGCAATGAAAACAAACACATGTTTAAAGTACTGTCCCATCACTCTACTCCTGTGATGAAATATTATACATCTTCCTAACAAGCTAATTTTGGAATTATAACTTTAGATACTTGCAGAATAATGCAATCAGGATTTTTTAGAAGCAGGGACATAACATACTAAATTACTTCAATCAGTTACGTCAGAATCTTCGGAAGAATCAGTGTCTGGAAGTGGCTGTAAGCCCCATGCGGTCTTCTTGATGTGGTATCTAATATTGCGGATACAGGAATTCATAGCTTTGACACACTCTTTCCAGTCATATCCGGATTCCTCGAGTTCAAAAGTCGGAAAGGTTTCCTGGAGAAACTCTGGAGGTAAAGTCACAAAACATAAGTTAAAATAATTTCTCAAAGAAACTAGTGTATTCAACCTTAATTCTGTAGATGTGTCTATAATAAGGGTCATTAGACTTTACTTAAAACCCATGGATTACAAAGGATAATATGAAATATCATCATGCTTAAATCCCAATAAAACAACAAAATCTCCAATGATCGTGCTACAGATTAGACTAGAAATTCTCCACTACTTTCGGGACCCAATGTAAACTTTTCTTATTGTTAAATTCATAACAATGCATCGAGGTTTTTCATTATAGCTGATAGAGGTATGTATCCTTTCATACTTTTAGAGGCAAGATGCTAGAACTTACAAAATTTTTTGTACCGCTTGGTTTATCTCTGACAATAAGAATGAGGCCTTTTGGTCTCCCAGTTAGAGGAAAGCTACAAGGGATGGAGATATAGCAATGTAACTCAAAGAGAAAGTGGAAAGTCAAATGGGAAAAATGAGGAAAAGAGATGCTAGGAGAAGAGCAAGCTGCCCTTGGGTAGTATATCAGTTAAATTCCTCAATATCTAAGTACCTTGAGCTGTTAGTTAAGATCTGCTGACCACTAGAAGCCAGCATTCATTGATGCTATTAATCAAGTTTGTTTGTTATTTAATGCTTAATAGACTGGTAAACCAGGACAATGCCACAAACAAGGCATATATCTAAGTTTTTTAGCAAGACACATTATAAAGTTAGAAGGCTTTTTCATACCCAACTACTAAATTAATGGAGCAACCGTAGCCTGGAAATAGGCTTTACTTGTATGTTACTGGACTTAGGCACTATGTTGCTGAACATTTTTATTAACAAAAAGTAAGTTATGGAAAGCAGGTTTGTTGCATCTGCCCCTCAAATATAGGGCAGAAGACTAAATTTCTGGAAAATAAAAGTAACACCTGCAAAGTTCTCAACCGTCTGCAACAAGAAGCCTAAATTTGGTGTGTCTCATACATGCTCTCTGAAACTCCAGAGGTCTCTTTGGGAAGATTCCAGTTGGGCCAATGAGAAATGACACACTCTGTAGTCCCCACTTGGGGGCTTATGTTTATGTTGCACATAGGCATGTAAAGGGCTTTTGAAAAAAAAGCACAGAAAAACACAAAAACATGTAACTTCACAGTGGCTGACAAACAACCTTCCTAATTCCATGACCATTTAATAGTTTCCCATGCTGTAGTGACCCCCCCCCAACCATAAAATTATTTTCGTGGATACTTCATAAATGTAATATGATATTACATTCATAAATGTAATTTTGCTGTTATGAATCGGGCAACCCCTGTGAAAGGATCGTTCGACCCCCAAAGGGGTCATGACCCACAGGTTGAAAATCACAGAGCTAAAGCCTTGGTGGGGTCATAAATGGGAACAGTAGAGGGCATAAGGCAAGAGAAGAGCAGGATTACAGATCATCTGAAAACATTCAAAATATTATTATTACCTGAAACATAGAAGCCCTGGTGGTGTAGTAGTTACACATTGGGTTTCTAAATGAAAATATCCTGGCTTGGGTTTTATATTATCACTAATTTTTATATGGTGAATGCCATCTTAGGCAGCCTTAACTTACGTTAAAGAAACAAGAGTATGATTATTCATTGACTTGTAGACACACTTCTTTATGATCTTATTCATTGACCTGTAGACATGCTTCAGTGTCTACAAAATGCAAAATGTGTTCCATTAGCCCAGAATTTAAGATCATGAAGAATCTGGCTATTTATATCAACATCTGCTCAAGGAAATGGAGATACTTAACTGTAAATGTCTAAGACTTGCAGAGGAAAAGTTGGGTAGAACTCTTACTTTCCAATTATCGTGCTTCCATGGGGAAGGATCTCCAAAGTGAGAAATTTTAAAAGCTTGGGTATGTATGATTCAAAAGTAAATGACAGGTATCTTTCTACCTGCTTGATTCTAGTGGCTGTTTCTCATTTGGTTCTGAACTTGATGGGGTGGTAGTGGTATTACTTATTCCTCTTAACACTCTAGCTGAAAGTAGTACTAAACCCACAACAATGGAGCTGTTTGTAAAGATTTAAGGCTCATCTTTCTCCTGCAACACAGGTAATGGGATTTGAAGTGCCAGCCTTGCAGTTAGCAGCCCAGGGCTAACCCGTTAACAGGGCTCCTTACTCACTACCGAGTTAATTCTGATACACATAGCAATCCTATAAAACAAAATAGAACTGCCCCTCTGTTTCCAAGACTGAATCTTTACAGGAGCAGACCACCTCATGTTTTTCCCTCTGAGTGACTAGTGGGTTCAAACTGCTGACCTTGCAGTTAGCAGTTCACCAAGTAACCCACCAGCATTCCTCCAAGGCCCCTTAGCAGGAATAGTTGTCTTAAATACTTGAAGGTTGACGTGTGAAAAGTGATTGGATTTACTCTAGTTTAAGAGTGACTTGGACAAATACATATCATGTGAGAGGTAAATCCTTAATCAAATGAAGAAATAACTTTCCCCTGAATTAGATCGTTTTGAAAATGTAATTCATCTGTCTTGAGTGCCTATCTGTGGCAGTGTTCTTGCTAAGGAGAGGTGACTCTCTTTTATGGTGAGATAGCAATTCCTGCTCTGGGTGTGAAGTTGTCATAGAGGACCTGTAAGTACTTCCTATCACTAAGATATGACAGTTCTGTTTTATATAGGAACAGGGGTTGTGAAGAGTAAGGATTGGTTGATAATTGCAAATATACAGCCAACTGATTTGCTCCATACAAGCTATTCTCTAAAGATCTCTTAAATGATACTGATCTTTCATCAGAGCAATAGCTACTGGATATACTTATCTTTGACTATTAACTTCTAGAACAGTTTCTCCTAAAAACAAACTCTTACTCACTGCCATCGACTTGATTCTAACAGTGAGCCTATAGAACAGAGTAGAACTTCCCCTGTTGGTTTCTGAAACTGTAACTCTACAGGAGTATAAGGCCTCATTTTTCTCCTGTGTAGTGGATTATGGTCTTCAACTACTTACCTTATGGTTAGCTTCCACTGAGTAACCACTATGCAACCAGGGCTCCTTCAACATACTTACAGGATAAGAAATATTAGAATAGAAAAATAAACTAGTTTATTCATGCAATAGGATACCAATTAGCTATGGAAACGCATGAACCAGTAGACTTCAAAAACATTAATAACTGAAAAGTTGTAAAAGTATACATACTATATATCCCCACTGATGTGAATAAAAACTATGATAATGTTATGTATGAATCTACTAACATCTATAACAAAAGTATAAAATATACATAGGAATGACATATAAAACTCCAGGACTATGATTACTTATAGAGGAGGGGAAAGGGATGATGGAATAAAGTTATAATTATATCAGTAATGCTTTGTTATTTAAAAGCAGAGCAAAGCAGCACAAAATGTTAAATCCTCAGTTCTATAATGCATAGAGGACAGGTGTTTATTAAATTACTATATAGTTTTCTGTATTTTTTGTCTGTTTGTAACGAAACAATACTTTCAAGAAATCCTATTATGAGGCTTATAGTCAAGTCTTCCTACTAGTGCAGAGGTATCTTCACATCTCTGGTCATCCAGTCTTTGCTTTGACTCTTGTACTTCTCCAAGTTCATTTGGGCCTTTCAGTAAAGTAAAACAGGCGTTCTTGTCAGCTTCTACTTCTTAGGCATGGCTCTACCCCATTCCCAGGAAGTGGGAAGCAATGACTCTACCATATAAATAATGCACGATTGCCCTTCTCAAAGGATTATAATGTTGAATCATATGGGGAAACTGTAAAAATACACCTTATTTTACTTGTGAAACACATGCTGAGTATTTTTTACTAGAAAAGACATCTTGCTTTTTTATGACTCAACTAGGGACAATATAGAATAGCAATTTTGCCAACTTTTAAGGAATTAATCTACTCCAGATATTAAGTAACTATAAAAGTCACCTTTTCATCTTCATTAAAACTTTTAATTAGAAAAATGCTATTTCTTCTGAATTGGATATACATTGTTTTGTTTTACCATAAGGCTGAATTGAGTTTTGAGTTGTTTGGTTTGGTTTGGTTTTGCCAGAGGTAAGAGCTCAGTGATAATCAAATTGCAAATTGTAACCAGATTGGGATTCAAATTACACGTTATGAAACCAGTGACAACTACTTTTAAAAAGAAATTCAATAAAATGGACAACATTGGAATGAAAACCTTAGTGAAAAAGTCTTGTTTCTAAAATGTTTGCTTTATTTGTGTGGTAGTTATATAATCTGTTGTCAATTTGAGAGGATTAAGAGTGAAGGGGTGGAGTTGAAATTGTCAATCAGGTGGCAGCTTGATGACCTCATTTGGAGGTGCTAAGGAGATACATAGCTCGCTTGAGGTGGGGACACACGCTCACTCCCTGGGAGACAATGCAGCTGACAAGGCTTGTGGAGCTATGCTAGTGCTCTGAGCTGGAGGAGCCACATCGAGACCCCTGCCAGTGCTCAGATGCTTACAATGCCACTGGATCCACAAGACTTCCCACCCACTGGCCTGTGATCTCTCTGAATTCAGCATCATTGCATGTGTTTGGTGAGTCGGAAGAGGACTTTATAGATTGGTATCGGACATATGGGCTAATATCGGACTTATCGACTTTATCTGGACTGGGCTGGGATGTTTTCTCAATATTCAATTGCTCTTGTATATAAAACTCTTTCTCATATACATATGAGTGTCTATGAATTTGTTCCTCTAGTCAACTGAGACTAACACAGTTTGTTTTTAAAATCTCTCTCATCCTCATGCGAAGTCCCATGTACACATACTGTCACAACATAAAATCTGTTCCTTATTGCAGGCTGCAATAAAGAGAAAATTTTAAATCAAGTGGGTTCGATGACAGCAAGTACTTACAAAGGGAGCTGTACGGCAGGTTTCTCAAAGTTAATCTGAAACACAAGTGTTGCTCAAATGTGTTGGATATGAATATGTGTGACATGAAGGGAGGGACCAAAGGGGAAGGGAACTAAGATCAGACTAGGGCTCAGAACTTTGTTGGGTACTATACAGATACAAGTAAGAAATAGTGTTTCCTACTTTGTTACATTAAAGATTTTGCAGAATTAGGTTTTAAAGCTTCATTACTTTGCATATGCCCTAGGTATAAAGAATACATTATGCTAATATGCACAAGACAAAAGAAAGTACTAAATGAATATGCTATGCTACTTTTGACACTTTTTGTAAACTGACAAAAGCCCTTCAGCTTTGACCTCAATAAGGTAGTTTCCTTCCCAAATCCTAGCAATCCACAGCAGGGAGCCTTTCCTGTCTAACAATGTCATTCAGGACAGCACAATTAGCCCTGAGGCCCCAAATGCAAAGAGCAGTTCAACTCATGAACTCATTCCTTGTTATACCTTGCTGACTTTTTCAAAGAGCTCTAGCTCACCTCTGAATTCATTTTTCCTTTCTTCTCCACCATAATTTGCTTTTATTTAGCCTCCCACACTCTATATAATAACAAACCTCGGATAGCACTAATCCGGTTGGGGTCGAGGGCAAACAAGCCAAAGTTAATACAGCCATAGACATTACACCACAGCAGGTCTTCCTCTGGGAACAGGATGCGAATGAGGTATCTGGCTGACAGATCTGGGCGAGTCTTTCTTCTTGCCACATCAAGTACTGACTGTGGCAGTTTTATACCTCTACAAGGACAACCAACAAATCCTAGAAGTGAAAAAAAAAGAAAGAAAGATTACCTTTGTGGGAGGTGTTAAATTGGCATCTTGGGTCAAGTTTTTTAAAGGGCTATAACAAAAAAACTTACCTTTCTGAATTATTAGGCTCAGAAATCTGAGAGGTTAAAAAATCTTAAAGCCTCAAGTTTGTAGTGTATTCTGCAACCACATGCAAAATGAGACTGGATCACTGCTAATATAATTATATGGGCTTCAATTGTTCAAAGGAGGAGGACTTACTATTCTGCACCTTTTAGATTGTAATAAATCTTAAAATAATGTCTAGCAATAAATTCTAATTTTAAATGAATTATTTTCCTAATTATAAGAAAGTTGCTTCCCATGGTAAGGGTATTTATGTGTCCACAGGAAAAGGAGCGAGAGACCAGACCTCATCCCGGAACACCAAGCCTTGAGGGCAACATACTGGCATGGAACAGCGAACTAACAGAGGACGACAGGGCCAGGCCCAAGCCAAGCTATGTTGATTGCCTCACCAGAAGAATGTAATGCAGAGGTTAGCACTGAAGATATAGCCTGGGAAGAGTGGCGGCTCTGTCCAGACCACACCCGCGCAAACTAAGAGGGAGAGAGAGAGTGGACCTCATCATGGCCCACCAAGCCCTGAGGAAGGCATCCCTGCTCGGAGCAGCCAATGCACAGAAAGGGCCGTAGGGCCTGCGGCTCTACCAGGAGACACGCCAAAGAGAATGCAACAGGGCAGCAAGAAGAGCAAAGTAACGAAGTTCCTGAGGAATCCTGAAAATAGGGGATTTCTGACTCAGGGGACCCGATTAGAAAACATTCTTAAGGGTCAGCAGACAGACGTGGACATTTCATAGGCTTTTTGTTTTGTTTTGCTGCAGCTGCTATGTCTATCTATATGTCTATATGGCTAGGTCTATCTATATAAGATAGGTAGGACAAACAATCCCAAGGGGAAAACAAAGGACCAGCAGTTCCAGGGGGCTATGGGAGAGGAGGGGGTGGGGAAGGGGAGTGGGGAGTCAACAAACTCAGGTATAAGGGAACAACAAGAGATCTCAAATTGATGGCAAGGAGGGTGTAGAATGCCTGGTGCAGTTTGATGAAGTGCAATGTATCCGAAAGGAATTACTGAGAGGCGAATGCAGGGCAAGCATGATAGTGGAACTGAAGGAAGGTGAAAGGAAATAAGAGGTATAGCTATAGGAATGCATATATGTAAATATATTAATTTATAATGATATGGATATAGGTCAATGTACATATATTTATATGTTAAGCATTAAGATAGCAGACAGAAATTTGAACCTCTACTCAAGGCCTCCCTAAACACAAGAACACTTTGTTCTAAATACCTGGTACTCTTTTGATACTCACCTTCCTGACATGATCACATGACAAAATGGGTGCATGAGCAAATGTGGTGAGAAAGCAGCTGGTGCCAGGCTATCAAAAGATATAGCATCTGGGATCTTAAAGGGTTGAAGTTAAATGAGCGGCCATCTAGCAAGGAACCAAGAAAGCCCACATGGAAGAAACACAACAGCCTGTGTGATCATGAGGTGTTGACAGGATCAGGTATCAAAAGATCCAAAACAAACACTTACATCAATGTGAAAGAGGAAGTCAGAGTGGAGACACAAAGCCCATCTGTAAACAATTGGATATCCCCTCACTTCCTGCGAGACATCCCTGAGAAGTCACATGGACCTACCCTAATGCAGCCCCGGGTTCTGGAGCAGCCACGTAGAGACCCTGGCCAGCTCTGAGAAGCTTACCCGCTCACTAATTCGGCTTTCTTCCTGCAGTTGGCGTCAATGCTTGTGTTTTATGAGATTGAGGAGGATTTTGTGGAAATCAGTGTCAGACATAGGGGCTAATGTTGGACTTACAAACTTGGACAGCACTGGGTTGGGATGTTTTCTTAGTGTACACTTACCCTATATAAAAATCTCACATATATACAGTTTCTGTGGATTTGTCTCCATAGTTTACCCAGACTAACACATATTACCACAATCAGTTTTAGAACATTTTCTTCTTTCTTGTACTCATTGCTATTATCTTCCCATTTTCCCCAACCTCCCCTGCCACCCCCCCAAGAAACCATTAATTATGTTATTGTCTCTATATATTTACCTATCTCTGGATTTCATATGCAGAAAAGTTTTTTAAATTAACAATAAAAATGTAAAACAGAAAAACCAATCAAAAAGAAAGCAGAAAGTAGTATTAAAATCAATTTTAAATGGGTCAAAGAGGAGCTCAAACTTTTACCCTAACTGCATCTTAGTAATCCACTTTCCAATGCACTCTGCATGATAGCAAGGCGAGTCACATCCCTGATCTATGATCACCAGGGGATTCACCAGAGGCTTAATCCAAGAGTATTTCCCCTTTATTTTTCTTAACTGACACAATCTTTAAATAGGAGCTGACTCATTTTTGAGATTGTACTCAGAATGGTAAACACAGGATAAAGTTTTGCTATGTTTTTCTATCTCAGGGGCCACTCATCAATGATAGGAGAACCCCAGCAAAGGGGAGGTTGTGGGTTGGGAAGCATGAGTTGTAGGTGGCATGTGACCTACTGAACCACTGCCACTTGACACAGAGGAAAGGTGAATATGCCAGCAGGTCCTAGAAATGTGATCCATGAATTCATCCAAGAGTTATTTTCTGAACACCTGGATAAGCCCTCCCTCCCCCCCAACTGCTTTCACCTTCTTCCACCTGTAGCTCCTCCTGTTTTCCCGGCTGAGGAAAGTACCTAACCATTGCACACTCTTGGTCAACTGAGTCTCCAGAAGTCAAAATGGCAAGCTCAACTCAACACTAAAAGCTGTTACTTCAGAACTACGTATTTTCTATTTCATTAACTCACTAATCCTTTCAAAACCAAATTATTTTCTGCTTTGAATCTTTTGTTGATTTCATGTGTTTTCAGCAATGGAAAGCAAGCTAAAAGCAATGGGATTAGGTAATGTGAATTTTGATAGTTATGTGAGACACATGGATTGTTATACAACTATGTAGAACACATATGCCCAAAGCAGACGTTGGGGATATTCGTGCTAGAATAAGGTCCATTTCTTCATATTCAGTCAGTTACACAAATCATTGCCAGGTACAAGCACATAGTACAACTGGAATAACAGCTTCCCAAGCTTCCCAAGAAACCTGAGAGGCTGAAAATGTTTATTGGTTCATATGTATCCTATAGGTAACAAGAGTATTAATGTAGGGTATTAAAGGATTTCAACTTTTTAGTGTGAAAAGTTTCCAACATACAAAAAGGGTGAGAACAGTACAATGACCCCTTGGCATGTATTACCAATATGCAACATTTGTTATCCAGAGAAATTTATTTAAAGCTACCTCCGGGCAAGGACACCTGAGATTGTGGCCTTTAAATACACTTCTTATTTAGAACTGAAGCCCCTCCCAGAGATCAACTTTCAGCCACATAAAAGACAGGCCTACAACCAATGAAACACACAATATTCCTCTGGTTCCTTGAGGCTTCCTCATTCCCCATTATCATGACCCCAGTCCTGCCTTTAACTGCGGGCTAAGCCCCGAGCATGTACACAGTTACAGTTAAAAGAGCTCAAGACACATTGAATCCAGTAACAGGAATGGAAGCAGTGATACCAGGAGGGTAGGGGGAAGGTGGGGAGAAGAGGAGAGGAAGGGGGAACTGATTGCAAAGATATAAACACAGTACCCCCCCCTCCCAGGGGTAAAAACAGCAGAAAACATGGGGAAAGGGAGACATCAGTCAGTGTAAGATATTAAAATAATAATCATTTATCATTTATCAAGGGGTCACGAGGGTGAGGGCAGGGGGGAAGGGAAAAAGAGGAGCTGATACCAAGGGCTCAAATAGAAAGCAAATGTTTAGAAAATAATGATGGCAACATATGTACAAATATGCTTAGTACAATTGATGTATGGATTATTCTAACAGCTGTAAGAACCCCCAGTAAAATGATCTTTAAATTTAAAAAAATGACAGGCCTACAATAACACCCAGGAGGAACATGAGCCTCAGAACAACCAACTAAGAAGGGCAGCATTGCCCAAAAATGTTAGTAAGGAGCAGGAAGGGGCAGAAAAAGTAGGCAAATGGAAATGGGGATTTCGGGTGGAAATGGGGAAAGTGGTGATACATTCTGGGGATTGCAACAAATGTCACAGAACAATCTTTGTTATAAATTGCTAAATTGAAAACTAATTTACTCTGTAAAATTTCACCTAAGCTACAATAAAATATTTTTAAAGAAAACTCACCTGTGACTTCAAAATCTCTCACTTCATCAGCTTCAATTTCCACAACTTCTTCCACGATGTCATTATTGTTCTGGTCAGCATCCTCATATTCTGTGGGAAGAGCATCTTCATTTTCGCGGGTTTCCAAGGAAGTTGTTGACTGAGGAATGCTTCCAATTCCATCCTCCTGGTCATCGGGATCTGCATCCTCTGGTCTATCATGGTCTTCATCCAGGTTGACAGGGTCTTCAACCAGGTTGCTAGTATCTTCATCACAGTTGATAAACCCTTCATTTCTTTCTGGACTACCAAGGTTGAGAGGGCCCTCCATTCTGTCATCACATTTCTTTTGAAAACAAAAAGTTGTCTATAGCAAAGATGTTCACATCCCATCATGCAGGCCCCCCCCTGGGTTAATGAGGAAGCAGCTATCTATAATAAGGTGGGCCAAAGACACAGGGCTAATTCGAACAATGCCTCTTAGAAGAGGTGTGGGTTGAGATCTTTTCGCAATCTGCTAGAATGCCCTATTTCTTGAAAGATTTTGTAGTTCTAGTTATTAAATGGATAAAAACTGCCGGCACAAAAACAAGTATTTACTAAATGATTATTTATTTCTTGAATATAAAAAATTTTGTCTGTTTTGTGTTCAATCTAGTCCCAAACTTACTGCCATCAAATCGTTGCCAACTCGCAGTAACCATATAGGATAGGGGAGAACTGCCCCTGTGAGCTTCCGAGATTTTAACTCTTTACGAGGGTAGAAAGGCCCGTCTGAAACTATGACTCTTTACGGGTTGGTTACAAAGCCCCGTTTTCCCCCCAAATCTAGTCTAAAGTAGCTTTCAAATCTGGTTGAATATTATATTTTTTTTAAAAAACAAACTACCAAAAAATTACAGTTTTTATGGAGTCCTCCACAGGTAGTATAAATGGCTAATGTGCTTGGCTGATAACAAAAAAATTGGTGGTTCCGGCTCACCCACATGTACCTTAGAAGAAATGTGAGGAAATCTACTCCCCAAAATTCAGCCATTAAAAACCCTATGGAGCACAGCTCTACTCGAACATATATGGGTTGCGATAAATTGAAATCAACTTGATAGAAAGTTATATAAGTGTAAGATAAACCTCATAATCTTTTGTCACCACTAAATATTATACAACTTAGTAATTAAAACATATAATATGTACAACATCAGTAATTCTAATCAAACAAATGTTATTATGTTGCTTTGATTCTTTGAGAACAGAGAATAGTTTCGGGTCCATAAATTTGGCTATCAGCAGTACGTATCTGAAGCATCAATGATGAGACCTTGCCGTTTATATTGTGATGCTCCACCCGCATCATGGCATTAAGGTTTTTCCTCTCACCTTTCTCTTTACCACGGACATTTAAGAGGTGTATCTAATCCACTGCCATCAATTCAATTCTGATTCACAGTGACCCTATAGGACAGGGTAAAACTGTTTCTGAGACAGTCTCATGTTTTTCTTGTGAAGCAGCTGGTGGGTTTGAATACTGTTATCTTGCAATTAGCAGTCCAATGTGTAGCCCCACTATACAACCATTGTTCCTGAAGAGTTATAACTAGAGAGTTGGAACTCTAAAGATTTTATGCTTAGCAAACCTCTGAAATGCTAGCTTGCTTTAATCTACACCTCCACATCAAGGGCTTTGGGCTGGCATGGACCGCAACTTAAAGCTAACCAAAGCCATGGATTGAATCTTGAGTTCCTGTGTCTCTTAAAGGAATTCCTGGATGAACGAAACAGTGAATATGCTCAGCTTCTAACAGAAAGGTTGGAAGTTAGATATTTTGGACAAAGGGTCTGGTGATCAACCTAAAAAAAAATCTGAAAATCCTACGGGGCACGCTTGTGCTCTGACACATAGGGTTGCCATCGAGTCAGAGGCCACTCTTAAGTAACGTTTTACAATTATCCTATGAAGCCTTTTGAAAAATAACATATTTGGGTCCCCTTCTTGGCAGATTACATACTAATTTCTGTTGGTAGGACTACTAACTTTTTGTTAAAATGCATCCGTGTGAATCTAATATGCAACCAGAATTGACAGCAGGGCTTTTCAAGTAGTTCTGATTCCATACTTCCTGGATAGAAATGCAAATTCTCACCAGGGGCTCTAAGCCAACTGAACAGTGTTTGAAGCCCTGGTTGACAGCCACTGCTGTAAATGGAGGTTTCTTGAACATGTATGTAACTTACGATTTGTCAGGCAGCATGTCTACATGCAAACATTGCACCCCACATGTTTAGGGTGACATTATTGGAGGGTATACAATGGAATGTCAAAAATAAGCATATTTCAGACAGATGGTGCTTGAGCTATCACTGAAATCCAATGAACCAGCTGAGAAACACAATCTATTCTTGCTTGTTACTAAGTAGAATACCAAATAAGACTTGCCAAATAATCTTTAGAGTGAAAACTGTTTATTCTACTATACCTTTTGGCTTCTAATATACTAATTATGGCACCGTATTTCAGTTATTTTATCTTTAAGCATTTTCACAGATCATAAAAGTCAACAGAAGGGGGGGGAACGAAACCCTAGTTGGCAGTGCTTAGTACTCTGTACTACAGGGTCACTAATGAGTCGTAATTAACTCTATGGCAATGTTTAATTGTTTATAAATGTCAAAAAATGAAACAAAGTGGTAATATTCTTTGGAAAGTGTATACTATTCTCTAAAATTGAGTAGATAAGTTTTTAGTTCATGCTTTAAAGACCAGATCCTAAGAATCAAGCTCTGAGTCCTAGAGTTACAAAGAGAATGGTCTTGCAAAGCAGTTACCCTATTTCCCTTAAGTTTATTACCTTAACTAATAAAATTACTTTATTACCTTAAGTAATAAAAAATTACTTACCTTAAGTTTTCTGGCTTCATAACATAAATGTTGGATCATAACTCTAATATCTGAAATACAGTTTTGCCAGTCTTCTCCATATTCACTTAAGTCATAGTTGGGAAAATGCATTATCAGAAATTCTGTAGATAATAAAAAGCATTCACAATAATTAGAAAAATTAGCAAAGAAACTGACAAAGATTTATTTTAAATAAATGGAAAAATTTCTATGTCTAATTGTGTTTGTTTGCTCCCAAAACTGAGTTTAGAAATACCACCCAATGAGGTGACTTTTCAGAATTATCTCATTCTTTCTAACATGAAATTTCCGAAAACACTGATATAGGAAGATGAGGTTTGGTGTTTTCAGAGTGTAACCAGAAATCTTTCCTTTGGGGTGCTAATACCACTTAAGGAACCCTGGTGGTGCAGTGGTTAAAGGCTCAGCTGTGAATAGAAAGGTCAGCTATTTGAACCTACCAGCTGGCTTTGTGGGAGAAAGGTGTGGCAGTCTAATTCCTCAAAGAGTTATAACCTTGGAAACCCTATGAGGCGACTATCCTATAGGGTTGATATGGTAGGAATCAAATCAACAGCAATGGGAATGTTGGGTTGGGAATACCATATTTAACAACCCAGGTTCAGTTCCTGACCAATTCACCTCATGCACAGCCACCACTTGTCTGTCAGTGAGAGCTTGCATGCTCCTACAGTGCTCAACGGGTTTCAGTGAAGCTTCAGACAGGCTAAGAAGAAAGGCCAGACATCTGTTTTTGAAGCTCAGACAATAAAAATCTTATGGATCATGAAAGTCTTATCCACAACTGATCGTGGGGTTGACCAAGATGCCATGGGGTCACTATGAGTTGGAAGCTGACTTTATGCCAGCTAACAATGTATATATTAGTACCAAATCAGAAAATGTTTATAATACTCTCAATGCTGTTAAAATAACATAACATTGAGAGTATTGTTACTCCATTGTTGTTTGTTTGTGTATATGTCTGTTGTTATTACTGCATACCACTAAATTGATACCGATTCACAGTGTCCCCACAGTTTCCTGTGCTATAACAATGTTTACAGGAACAGATTACCAGGTCTTTCTACCATGGAGTCACTGAATGTGTTAAAAGTCATCAACTTTTTGGTTAACAACCAGGTGCTTAGCCAGTAGGCAACATTTTTTTTCATATCTATATTCCCCATAAGCTATTTTTTAAATCATTTTGGTGGGGGCTTGTACAACTCTTATCAAAATCCATACATATATCCATTGTTTCAAGCACATCTGTACATTTGTTGCCATCATCATTCTCAAAACTTTTGCTTTCTACTGAAGCCCTTGGTATCAGCTCCCCCTTTCTAATGAACCCTTGATAATTTATTAAGTATTAATATTTTGTCATATCTTACACTGTCCAACATATCCCTTCAACCACTTTTCTGTTGTCCACCCTCCAGGAAGCAGGTTATATGCAGCGCCTTGTAATCAGTTCCCCCTTTACAGCCCACCCTACCTCCACCCACCCAGTATCACCACTCTCAGCACTGGTCCTGAAGGAATCATCTGTCCTGGATTCCCTGTGTTGCCAATTCCTATCTGTACTAGTGTATATCCTCCAGTGTAGTCAGATTTGTAAGGTAGAATTGAGATCATGATAGTGGAGGGGGGGGGAGAAGCATTTAGGAACTAGAGGAAAGTTGTATGTTTCATCCTTACTATACTGCACCCTGACTGACTCCTCTCCTCCCCATGACCCTTTTGTAAGGGGATATCCAGTTGCCTACAGGTGGGTCTTGGGTCCCATTCTGTACTCCTGCTCATTCACAATGATTTGATTTTTGTTCTTTGATGCCTGCTACCTGATCCCTTCGATACCTCATGATCACACAGGCTGCTGTGCTTCTTCCACGTGGGCTTTGCTGCTTCTGAGTTAGATGGTCGCTTGTTTACTTTCAAGTCTTTAAGACCCTAGACACTATATCTTTTGATGGCCGGGCACCATCTGCTTTCTTCACCAGATTTGCCCATAAGCTATTTCTTCTGCCTCAAATGTTCCTCCTCTTTTTCTAGTTGGCTAGGAAATTCTTCCTAATTTAGTTTCAATGTGTTACCTTTGGAAAAACCCTTCCCATGTTTTTCAAAGGAGCTGGATTTGAATGCATCTGTTTCCATCAACTTGGCCCTTTCTAGATTCTAAGCTCCCTGCAGGCAGAACCTACTTATTTGTTGCTGTAATCTCAATACACATTTCCAGAAGGCAGGAAGCTAATGCGGATAATTCTTACTATTTTATTTTATATGTTACCAGTCACTAGCACAAAGATGTCTGTTTGATTCACTCACGTTTTCTGCCTACCACCCCTCCAAACACACCCTGCTCTGTTTATTTTTAATTTTTTGAAGTCCCAACACCACAGAACTGATATAGGTCTAACTACAGTAATTACAATCAATAGTGCTTGTCTTGTTCTACCAGTCTAGGGAAGCTGTTACCCATTACATATTATTAAATTATCAAATTAGTGTTAGGTAAATAAAAGCATGAACAGTTCTAAGATATAATAAAGAATTCATCATTATTTCTTCAACTGTCAACCTTCATCACAAGACCAAGTAATGTTGGAACAGGTTTCCACACCGATTTCACATACCTCGTATCGCAGCCAGTTTATTTGGATCCAGGGGTTGGTGGTCTTCGGAATTGATGTCCACTGAGCTGGACATTAACTCTTCCTTAGAAAACAGATTAGAAACCAAGTATCGGGCTGCACACGAAGGGCTGTTCTTCCTTTGTGCTGTCACCAACTGATTATCAAACATCCTGACATTTCTTTCTGGATCACCAAGATAACCTTTTGAAAACATAGGAAAAACATAAAACTCTTGTCTTTGTCAGACCAACACTATACTACCAAAAAAGTGTCCAAGACAATTAAACTGATTTCTAACTTACAAGTTTCTAGACACTGAGGTACAATGATTTCTACCTTTTATTCTCTTCCTTACATGGGACTCTTGTAATACCATAGGCCCAACTATCAACATTCTTAATCTCTGTTATCCTCGAACTTGCTGTACTTGAATTTATCTATTAATTGTCTGAAGGCAAATGGAATTTTGTGGTCATAAATGGAATTCTGAGGCTACATGTTACTGTGAGATCCTTTTCATACTTTAAGATTACTCTCAGAGCTACGTTACCCGATGAGTCAATTCGCTGGTGATAACTGAGAAAGTATACATGGGTATAATCAAGGTTTTTAAAAATAGTTAGCATTTATTATCTACTATGTATCAGGTACTGCTTTAAAATACTTTACATCTATAGGCTTAGTTTCAATATCCTAACAACTCTATCATTATTCCCACTTAGCAGAGGAGGGAAATGAGTCCCAGTGAAGGTTTTATTTGAACAAAGTCACAATGCTAATGAGATCACCAGTTTTGAAATCTGCATCTCTGTTCTGAACCAATAATCTTCTGCTAATGTCTCCATTTTTTCTATTTCTATGTTTTTTAAACACACAATTGAAATCATATTGTATAATCTGAATCTGAATTTTTCAATGACTATTATGTATGAAGCATTTCTCCATTTTTAAGAGGTCTTGCACTCAATAAATGTTAAGTCATTAGTACATATCCAAAAGCTCTCCTCCCAGATTGAAAACAGTTTAACCAAACTTTTGTGTACCAGGGAGCTTCAAAAAGCTCATAGAAATTTCTCGTTATCTTTTCATCCCATGTCCCACAAACGTGGTGAAGCCTCCTCATACAATGCATTATTTCACACTCACTAAAACACATAAAGAGTCCAGCAGCTGATGAGGAAGAACCACGGCCCCAGTTATCTTCTAGTAAAACTGAGTTATTCGTTGCTTCAGAGTCATTTTTCTTTTTAGTATTCTTGCTTATCAATATTTCTATAGGTTCAAGTTCTGAAAGAAAAGAATCTTTGAATGCTATATCCAGCAAAACATTCTCAATAAAAGAAAATAAAATGTATTTGTAGCTAGCTGACCTACTCATAAAGAGCAGCTAATCAACTCAAGTCAATTCCAACTCATAGCAAGCCTACCGGGCGGAACAGAACTGCCCCTGTAGGTTCCAGAGGCTGAAAATGGGAAATAAGCACATGAAAGATGTTTTACATCATTATTCATTAGGAAGATGCATATTAAAACCGTAATGATACATCACTACATTATCAGAATGGCAAATGTTTTGTTTTTGTTTCCTTTAAATAATGAATATTGGTGGCAGTGGCGATACCAGGAGGGAAAGGGGGTGTAGAAAGGGGGAATTGATCATAGGGAGCTACATATAACCTCCTCTCTGGGGGATGGGCAGCAGAGGGGTGGGTGAAGGGAGACGCCGGACAGTGTAATATAAGATACAATAATAATTTATAAATTATCAAGGGTGTATGGGGGAGAGGGGAGGAGGAAGGGAGGGGTAGGGGAAAAATGGAAAATGAGCTGATTCCGGGAACCCAAGAGGAAAGTGAATTTTGGGAATGAGGGCAACAAATGTATAGATGTGCTTTACACGATTGATCTATGTATTGTGATGAATTCTATGGCCCCAATAAATTGATTTTTTTTAATTTTTAAAAAATTAAAAAAAATGAATAATGGTAACACCAAATGCTAGTGAGGATGCAGGGCAATGGAATCCATGTACCTTGCTGGGTGTATATAAGAGTACAGTCAATATGGAAATAATCTACCAGTTTGCCAACTCATAGTGACCCTGTAGAACAGGGCAGAACTGCCCCTGGGAGTTTCCAAGACTTACTCTTTACAAGAATAAAAAGCCCCATCTTTCTCCTATGAAGTGGTTGCTGGTTTTGAACTTCTGACCTTGCAAGTCAGCAACCCAATGAGTAACCACCATGCCACCAGGGGAACCAGTAAATGCACTCTTGAGCCTTTATGACACGGAAAGAAAACTTAATGCTCACACAAAAAAACGTGTGCATGCATATTCCTATCAGTTTTATTTGTAATATCACAAAAGTATAAAGGAACCAAAATATCCTTCATATAGATGAATGAACCCACTAACGGTGATAAATCCATACCATGGAATAAAAACTAGGACATGCTTGGATGAACCCTCTGGAGAATCATGCTGAGTGTAAAAAACCAATCACATAGGATTACATGCTATGAGGTCATTTATATAACATTCTTAAAACAGCAGCCTTATAAGGAGGTAGAACACATTAGTCCTTGAAGGTGTTAGGGACAGGGATAGGGAGGACAAGAAGGTAGAGGTCCTTATAAAATTACAATAAGTATCATGGAAATGACAGTACAGTTCTGTATCATGACTACAATGATAAATACCAAAACCTACATGACATAAAATTATATATAACTAAACAAGCACATACATGCACATACACACAAATAAATCTGTAACTGATGATATAAGATCTGTATGGTCTATCAATATCAATGTTCTGCTTACTATATTTTTGCAAAATTTTACTACTGAAGGAAATTGGGTAAAGTGTACTTGGGATCTCCGTATTTTTCCTTACACCAATTGGTGCTTCTGAACCCATCTCAAATTGAAAGTTTTACTTTCATTTAAAAGCCACAAGTAACTGGAATTAAGAATGTTCATCATAAATTATTATTTTCATGTCTTATACCATCCACTGTCTCCCTTCAACCACGTTGCTGTTTGTCTCCCTGGGGAGCAGTGTTATAGGTCGATCATTATAGTCTGTTCCTCGTTTCTCCCTCTTCTCCCCCCCTTCCCCCTCCCCTCATGGTATCACTACTCCCACCCCCTCCCCTCATGGTATCACTACTCCCATTACTGTTTCTGAGGGGCTTATCTGTCCTGGATTCTGTGTCAGAAGTTCTTATCTGTACCAGTGTACGTGCTCTGGTCTAGCTGGATTTGTAAGGTAGAACTGGGAGTCATGATAGTGTGGGGGGGGAGCATTAAAGAACTAGAAGAATGTTGTGAGTTCTATCAGTGGTATGCGGCATCCAGGCTGTCTCATTCTTTTCTTGTGACCCTTCTGTGAGGTAACGTCCAATTGTCTACAGATGGGTTTTGAGTCTCCACTCGGACCCACATGTGGGAAGGTGAGGGAGGGAGGGGAAAAAAGAGGAGCTGATACCTAAGGCTCAAGCAGAAAGAACATGTTTTGAAGACGATGGCAACAAATGTATAAATGTGTTTGAAACAATTGATGTATGGATTATTATAAGAACTATAAGAGACCCCCAAATAAAATGATTTATTAATTTTAAAATGTTGTTCAAGCTAAATAGTGATACATGTCTGGTGTATCATTTTGAACTAACCAAAACTGGGACTGAGGAAGTAAGAAGTTGATGTCGTTTCAGTGCCACTGTTATTTCCCAATAAAGCTAGGTTCTTCATTGCTTTATAACTCTGTTCCAGCCTAATTTCTATTTTAAAAAACAGTTTTGACAAAGGCTAGAAGATAAACAAGCGGCTATCTAGCTCAGAAGCAACAAAGCCCACATGGAAGAAGCACAGCAGCCTGTGTGATCACGAGGTGTCAATGGGATCAGGCATCAGGCAACTAAGTCCCAGAACAAAACCATACTCAAGGTGAATTGGGTTGGGGGCATGGAGTAGAGACCCAATGCCCATCTGTAAACAAGTAGACATCCCCTCACAGAGGGATCACAGGGAGGAGATGAGCCAGTCAGGGTGCAGTATAGCACCAATGAAACACACAACTTTCCTCTAGTTATTTGGTGCTTCCTTCAGTCACTATGACCTCAATTCTACCTTACAAATCGGATGAGACCAGAGCATGCACACTGCTACAGCTAAGAGCCCACAACACAGGGAATCCAGGATAGATCAACCCCTCAGGGCCAACAAGGAGAGTAGAGATACCAGGAGGATTAGGGGAGGGTGGGGGAGAAAAGGGTGAATCAATCACAAGGATCAACTAGAACCCACCCCACCCCCCACCAGGGGGAAGAATAATGGAAAAGTGGGTGAGGGGTGATGGAGGACGATGTAAGATATGTCAAAAATAATCTATAACTTATCAAGGGTTCATGAGGGAGGGTGGGGGAAGAAATGGGTAGCTGACAGCAGGGACTCAAGTGGGAAATGACTGCTTTGAAAATGATGATGGCGGCATATATGTAAAAGTGCTTGACACATTAGAGGAATGCATGGATTGTGATAAGAGATGTAAGAGCCCCCAATAAAAGTATTTACAAAAAGAAAAACATTTTGTTCATGACATTTTCAAAGGCTGGAAGACAAGAAATCTCAACCAGAATTTTTGCATCATGCAAAATAATGTATACATCACAAGATAATTCTGGGATAACAGAGAAACATTTTCAGACCAAGGAAAACTAAAAATAATTGTCACTAGCTCTGACTTGCCCTTAGAGACTATCTAACAGAAAGTTTTCAGACAGAATGTATATGGAAGAAGGAATCTTGGAGCATGAGGAAGGAAGGAGCAATAGAAAGTGCCGAAACAGGGACCTGGAGAAACTAGATCACTCACACACATTGCTGGAGGGATGTAAAGTGGTATAGGCACACACAAAAAATGTCTAATATTAAATATAAAGTGGCCATATATCCCAGCAATTGCACTCATAAGCATTAATCCTAAAAAAATTAAAAATTATGTTGAAGGAAACTTTCGTGTTCACAGGATGTGTATGAACTGTTAAATGGAAAACTGATTTGTTCTATGAACCTTCATCCAAGCTTCAATAAAAATTTAACAAAACTAAATCTTATGGAGATATTAAAAGTTACCCAAGTGTTCATCACAGCTTTGCTCCTATTTGTCAAAAACTATAAACAACCCAGATGTCCTGCAACAGTGAACAAATAAACAAACTGTGGTCCCTCCAGACCATGAAATGGTACTGAACTATAAAAATCAACTTACTGTTGTAAATGCAACAACTTACTGTGATAAAAGCATTCTGTGCCTTGACTGTTGTGAAGAATATATAAACAACATGTCATCAAATTGCATAGAACTAAATAAGCATACATACGTACACACAAAAGAATACAAGTAAAACTGGGATATTCCAATAAGACCTCTAGATTGTACCATGTTAATATCTTAGTTGTGATATTTTACTATACAACTTTTTGGAAAATGGGTAGTGTATCTGAAATCTCTGTATTATTTCTCAAAATGGCTTACACGACTACTGCTTTCTGAAAAACACTACTTCTGATTTTTCATTAATTTAAATGAGAAAAAGCTAGTGCTAGCTGACACTCAAAAGGAGCTGATAAGTGTAGATTAGACAGTGTTACTTGCAATATGTACTTATCATGTCAAACATTCCAAAACTAGGAGGGAGAGAGAGATGGCGACTATTGTGTAAGTCTGGGTTGACTAGAGAAATAAATCCAGAGATACTCATAAGAGTGTGGGAGAATTTTATAACAAAGAGGAATTTTATATTAAGACATCCCAGTCCCATCCAGATCAAGTGCATACGTCCAATATTAGCCCATATGTCCAATACCAGTCTATAAAGTTCTCTTCAGACTCACGCAACACATGCAATGACATTGAATGCAGGAAGATCACAGGCCAGTGGGTGAAAAGTCTTGTGGATCCAGTGGCAGTGGAAGCATCTCAGCACTGGCGTGGGTCTCCATGTGGCTCCTCCAGATCCAGGGCTCTGGCTTCATCAGCATAGCTCCATGTGACTTGTCAACAGGAATGTCAAGCAGAGAGAATGTGTGTCCCACCTCCAGGGAAGATGACAAAGTTCCCAGAATCTTCAGAAGGCCATGCCCACACAGAGGCCTCAATGGCTATGACCTGATTGACAGGCCAGACCTCCCACCCCTTCTCTCAAGTTGACGAAAGTTTATGTAACTGCCTCAACTAAGTGATTCGTTCTCAGTATTCTTTTCTAGACTATGGCCTGCTTTGGTCAACATTTCAATAAATGAAATCCTTTCTTAAGTGCTGAAAGAAAAGAAATCCTAGTCATATATTTTGTATGAAATGAAAAATTCCTTCAAAAATAAAGTAAAACCAAAGCCATTCTTAGAAGAAGAAATTGGGTTTCGTGTTACATAATGGTTAGAGGAAGGTTTCCAAACATAAATATATGGGAAAATAGAACCTAGAACCAGAGGAAAGGAGAAGGAACAATGTAAAAAGGAGAAATATGGATACGGGTAAATTGGATCACGCACACATTATTGGGGGAGACACAGCTACCCAAGGGGACAGTTTGGCAGTTGCCTATAACATAAAGTATACAATGGCCACATCATCCAGCAATTGCATTCTTAGACAATCAACGTTAGTAAAATCAAAATCCTGGTAGTGCAGTAGGATAAGTGCCGGGCTACTAACTGAAAAGACTGGGAGTTCAACCCCACCAACCACTGCACACACACAAGAAAGCTGAAGCAGTCTACTTCTATTAAGTTTACAGCTTGGGAAAATCTAAGGAGCAGTTTTACTCGGCCCTACTGGGTCACTAAGAGCAGGAATCGAATCCGTGACAGTGGGTTTATGCTTACCCAAAGACTGAACATTAACTCCTGTAGCAGCTTTCTTATAAGTTAAAACTGGGACTAAACCACACATGCTTCAACATGTGAAGAGTTAAAGCAGAGGAAATTATTACCAGGCGAGAGTAAACCCACTGCTGTTGAGTTCATTCCAACTCATAGCTGCCCCAGAGGGCGGAAGAGAGCTGCTTTTTAGGGTTTCAGAGACTGTAAATCTTTAAAGAAGCAGACTGCCTTATCTTTCTCCTAAGGAGTGACTGGTAAATACAAACTACCAATCTTCCACATAGCAGTCCAATGCTTAACTCACTGCACCGCCAGTGTCCCTTATGTGGAAGAGCACTCAGTGATAAAAAGGAATGTGATGAGACTTTCCACAGGTAGAAGGTAAGCAAATGCTCTAGAAAAATGTTCTTTATTTTTTTTAACAATACCACTACCAGCATGTGTTCTTAGTGAAGAATTTTATTATAAGTAAAAAGTTGAGGTAACTAAATTGAATGATCTCAAACATGCTCATCTTTACCACAGGAGTCAAAGATCTCTTTAAAAAGTCTTTGTGAACTCTAAAAATCTGTTTGTCTGTGCTATTTGAATACAAAGGTTTTTGGTTTTGCCTATTGGGGGAAAGAAGTAATGACATGATATATGCTGTACACAACTGCATTGAAATTTGAGGGAATTTTACTGATTTTAAAAATCCAATCCAAAGAGATTGCACACTAAATTCCATTTCTATAACAATATGGAAATAACAAATTATAGATTTAGAAAGCAGATTAGTGGTTGCCAAAGTTATGGAGAGGGAAGATCATTGGAGGAAATTTCAGCTGAAGGTAGTTGGCTGTGATTATAAAAAGCAACAGGACGGCAGTGGTGATGGAACTGTGCTGTCTCGACTGTGGTTGCAGACACCTAAGGCTATGCACAGAATAAAACATTCACACCTATGCACCCACATAAGTGCATTAATACAAGAGAGACTGGTGATATCTCAGTTGGTTATCTGGCTTGGATCACATCAATATTTCAGTTATATTTTATTAGAGTCACCATTGGGAGACATTAGGTAATGGGTACCTAGGATCACTGTATAATTTATTAAAACTGCTAGTGCAACTAAAATTTCCCGAAAGGGAAATTCAAATCTATAATTAATTAAATTTTCATTTCAAATGCTACTACTGGATTAGATTGAAGGTATTGATGAATCTAGATTAAATATTACTATTGATAATATAGGGTCACCATGAATCAGACTCAATTTAATGGCAGTGAGTTTTGATATTGGTAATATGTATCATTTTGAACTTACCAAAATTGGGAAAGATGCAGAGAGAAGTTGCATTATTTTGGTCATTTATATTTACAATGAAAGTGGGTAATTCATATTCGCAATACTCTTTCATGATGGTATTTGCTCTATCCAGCACTTCTAAAGACATTTTTCAAGATCCTTAAAAATACTTTTCATCGAGGCGAGAGTCATGCTGAGGTACTGGTTATTGCCTTGGTGTGCTAGAGTCCTCGAAGAGTAAGTGCTGATCTTATTCACTGGCTGTGCGTCTCGTGGCACAGTCAGTCACCAGTGTAGCGACATGCGTCAGGAAAAAAAATACTTTTCACTTGTGTAATTTTAGAACTGGAAAAACTATCTTTCAGAACTGAAGGCAAAAACCTTATCAAACAAAACAAAATCTTAATAAAGAACAGAGATTTGCTTGCATGATACCTTACTGATATGAGAATGAGAAATGGTAGAGTCACTCTGGAAAACACTTTGGAGATTTCTTTCACACTAAAGATGCAATTTCCAGATTCCAGCAATCGCACTATGAGTAGGTCATCCCGTAAGAATGAGAATTTACACTTTATACACCTGTATATGAGCAATGCTTATCAGTGGGGGTGTTGAGTAAGCCCTGTTCAGCAGGAGGAAAATAAGGCTATCTGCTCCTTTAAAGATTCACAGCCTCAGAAACTCTAAGATTGTTATGATTTGGGATTGGATTGAGGGCAGTGGGTTTGGTTTGGTTTATAATGAAAGTATCAAAAAATTGGAAACAAACAGTATTCCCAATGATGTGTGACTGAAAAAAACTGAGGCATACCTAGGCCATGGAATAGCACTCAGTAACAAAAAGAAACAAGTATTAATGGACTAAATGGCCTGGATGAGTCTTCAGGGAATTATGCTAGGTGTAAAAAAAAATAGAACTAAATATACACACAATTAGAACTGGAAATGTATCAATAAAGTTTGATAATTGTAGATTGTCCATAACCCTGGTTGTGCTATGTTCTAGTTATGACAAAATGTTAAAATTTGGGTGATTTAGTCCACCTTACTCAAGGCACTATATAAGTTTAACACAATCCCAATTCAAATACCAACAACCTTCTTCAAAGAACTGGAAAAACTGACCACCAATTTCATATGGAGAGGGAAGAAGCATAGAATTAGCAGAAAACGCCTCAAGAAGAAGGACAAAGTCAGAGAGCTCGCCTACCTGACTTTAATACCTATAATACAGCAACGGTGATCAAAACAACGTGGTACTGAAATAATGAGATACTCAGACCAATGGGAAAAAAACAAACAAACAGAAAACCCAGAAATAAAACCATCAGCTTATAGACAACTGATCTTCAACAAAGGCCCCAAAAGCATCAAGTAGGAGGTGGATGCCATCTTTAACAAGTAGTACTGCTAACAATGGATACTGACCTGTAGAAAAATGAAACAAGACCCTTATCCCATGCACAAGGTGGATCACAGACCTAGAAGTAAAACCCCAAGCTATCAGTACCATCAATGAAGGAATCAGGACAAACCTTAGAACCTTGGTGCAGGGAATACATAAGCTAACTTCAATAGGGAAGGGTATACATATAAAGCTAAAATTGACAAACGGGATATACTAAGAATAAAACACCTGTGTGCTATGAAAGACATCACCAAGAGAGTAACAAGAGAACCTGCAGAGTGGGAGAGGATTTTTAGGAATGACACAACAGACAAAGGTCTTATTACTAAAATCTACAATACCGTCTTAGCCTGCAAAGAGAGGAAAACAGTTAACCCACTGAGGAAGTGAGCAAAAGTCCTGAACAGAAGTTTCACTAGGGAGGAGACCAGAATGGCCAATAAACATACAAAAAAATTCCCCCATCATTAGCCATGAGAGAAATGCAGATTAAAACATCTATGAGATACCAGTTAACATCCTTGAGTATAGCCCAGATCAGAAAATCAGAGAGGAACAAATGTTAGAGGGGATGTGGTGAGATAGGAACTCTCCTCCAATGCTGGTGGTCATGTAGATATATGGACAGCTACTGTGGAAAGCCATCTGATGATACTTAAAGCAAATAGAAATTGAGTTACCTTGTGACGCAGCAATCCCTCTACAGAGCATATACCCAGAAGAAATAGACCACAACCAGTTGTCTGTACTCCAATGTATTGCGGCACAATTCACTATCGCAAAGAATTGGAAACAACCTAAATTTCCATTGATAGATGTATTAGTATGGGTACTTTGGAGAAACAAATCCACAGCAACTCATGGATAAGAGAGAGTTTAATGTAAAGAAAATGTGCATCACGAAAACATCCCAACCCAATGCTGCCCAAGCCCACAAGTCCAACATTAACCCATTAACCCAACACCAGTCCACAAAGTCCTCCACCTCACAAAACAGAGGCAATGATGCCGACTGCAGGAGGAAAGCTGAGTCAGTAAACGAATAAGCACCTCAGCACTAGCAGGGGTCTCCACACGGCTGCTCCAGCACCCAGGGCTGCATCGGGATATATCCATGCGGCTTCTCCTTGGGGATGTCTTGTAGGAAGTCAATCTTGCAAGCTGAAGCAGGGAGCTGCTAAGGCAGCTGCACCCTGGTGCGACCATCACAAAGCAAGAGCCCCGAGAACTAGAAAGGCGAGGCTCACCACCCATTTATCCCTCCGCCTTTCAATTAGCCCCACATGTGATTATCGGCCAGGTTGGCACAATTAACTAACTCAATAGACGAAGAGGATTAGAAAACTCTGGCACATACACACAATGGAGTACTACGCATCACTAAAGGGCACTGATGATCGCATGAAGCACATCATCTCATGGGAAGAGTTGGAGGATATTATACTCAGCAAGGTTGGCCAATCACAAAAGGACAAGTACTATGTGAGTCCACTGAAGTAAGTATAATCAGCACAGTAGATAAAGAAGAAAAGCCACTTATCCCACATCATATAGGCAGTCGGGCGGGGGACAGGTCAAATCCAAGGATGTACATGTCATTCCAACACAAAGAAGGGGAAAGGAGGGGAACAAATGGGGGTGGGGAGATGATGGCACTGGAGAAGCAGGGCACTAACCCACCCAGGGAGAGGGTTTGTTTGTGTGTCACCAGAAATGAGAGTGTAAGTGTAGACCCCACAACGGCGCACCAAACCTTGAGGGCAACAACCACATGGAGCAACTCATGAAAAGAATGGGGTACAGGGTTGGCCCCAATGAGACCCAAACTCACCCCTACCCTAGAAGTATGTGCTACAGAGGACAACACTAAACCTACAGTGTCACGCATATATGGAAGCAAGCCAAGAAGAAAAAAGAGAGATTGAGGGTCTAGACCCCATATCTACACATCAAGCCCTGAAGATGACATCCATGCACAGAACTGCTAGGACACCAAGAGGACTGTAAGGCCGACAACAGCTTGAGATATGATGTCCCCTAGCTAGAGCATACCATGACAGGACAATACTGGGGACACACGGCGGGGAGTGAGTCCGGTCTGAACACCCCACAGCCGGGCAAACCAAGAAGGGAACATAACCGATCAGCAACGGGAGCAAAGCAAAGCCACAAAGTCCCTGAGGAGACCACAGAATAGACTTCAGGCTAAGAGGGGCAGTTCCGGCAACCCCCCCACCCCAGGACCAGTGAGGAGATAGTCATAAAGGTCAGGGGACAGGCCTGGATTTATGTATGTTTTTTCATTTTTGCTAGTTTTTTCTTTTTATTCAATCTTTTGTTTTCTTTTTGTTTTGTCTCCATTATTGTCGGTTTGCCTACCTATAAAAGATAGACATGGGAAGCAAGCCCAAGGAGAAAGCCACAGGTCAGTCGGTCGCGGAGGGACTTGGGGGAAGGAGGAGACAGGGAAAGGAGTGGTGAGAAAACAGTGCCAAAGACAGGGAAACAAGTAGGAATTAAAATCAACTACAAGGAGAAGTAGAGATCCTGGGGTATTGGAGCAACAGCAATCTAGCTGAGAGGAATTACTAAGAGGCAGAAGAAGGGCAAGCATGATGGTGGGACAGGAGGAAGGTAAAAGGAAACAGAGGAAAGGTCTAGGTAGCAAAGCTATGGATAGAGCTATAAACATAGGTGTGCACTTATGTTAATATATTAATTCAGGAGGGAGTGGAAAAAATGAGGAATCCATGCCAGGGGCTTAAGTGGAGAACAAATGTTTTGAAAATGATGAGGGCAACAAATGTACAAATGTGCTTTACACAATCGATGTATGTATGGATTGTGATAAGAGTTGTATGAGCCCCCAATAAAATGATTAAATATATATTAATTCATAAAAATAGAGGTATTGGCCTATGTACCTATACTTATATGGCAATACATTGAGCAAGTGGACAGACTTTGGGCTACTGCTCAAGCCCTCCCTCAACGCAAGAACACTGTGTTCTAACAACCTGGCATTCTGTGATGCTCACCCTCCCAGCACGATCACTGAAGACAAAATAGGTGCACAAGCAAATGTGGTAAAGACAGCTGATGGTGCTCGGCTATTAAAAGATCTAATGTTTGGGGTCTTAAAGACTTGAAGTTAAAACAAGTGGTCATTTATCAGAGAAGCAACAAGCCCACATGGAAGAAGCACACCAGCCTGTATGATCATGATGTGTTGACGGAATCAGGTTACAGGCACCAGAAGACCCAAAACAAACAAACAAAACATAGTGCTGAGAAAGGGGGGTGGGCCAGAGACCCAAAGATCATCTGTAGACAATAGGTCATGCCCTCACAGAAGGGTCACAAAGAAGGGATGAGTCAACCAGGGCACAGTTTAGCAATGATGAAACACAAAATATTCCTCTGGTTCTTTGAGGCTTCCTCACTTCCCACCATCATGACCCCAGGCATCCCTTTCAGTTCTGGCTAGACTGGAGCATGTACACTGGTACAGATAAGAGCTTAGGACGCACGGAATCCAGGTCACATAAACCCCTAGGAACAGAAATGGGAGTAGTGATACCAGGAGGGTAGGGGAAATGTGGGGGGAGGAGGGAACAAAGGGGGAACCGAGTGATACCAGGAGGGTAGGGGGAATGTGGCCGGTGGGGGGGGAGGGAAGGAAGGGAAAACCGATCGCAATGAGGGACATATAACTGCATCCCCCCAGGGGGATGAACAGAAATCGTGGGAGTAGGGAGACAGCAGTCAATAAGATATGGAAATACTAATTTATATTTATCAAAGTGTCATGAGCAGGGGAGGAGGGGAGGGGGATAAAACAGAGGAGCTGATATCAAGGGCTCAAATAGAAAGTAAATGGTTATAAAAAATTATGGCAACATATGTATAAATATGTTTGATACAAGTGATGTATGGAATATTACAAGAGCTGTAAGAGCTCCCAATAAAATTATTTTTTAATGGGGCAAATGAGTAAAAGGTAAAAAGGAAAAAGAAAGTAAAAAGGAATCTATGTGTATTAATTTTTACAAACGAATGTGAATCTAACATTTTGTCAAGATAAAAAGTTTAATTTTTTTAAAGGAGCTACCATATGGTAGTATTAATGATGTTAACAACTCCTGATTAAATAGAATTACTTATGTATTATGTCAAACTCACCATTATAGGATGAACTGTAGCTACATGAAAGTGGAATAAATGGGCCTCTCTCATTCTCATTTCCCAGTGAAGTAGAGTGATTCACTGTTTCAGAACTGTTGTTCACTCTTCCTGAAACGCCTTGCAGTTTTTCTACAGGCAAAACAGAAATACAGATATTAAACAAAAGGATCATTCATGTATTGATAGTGGAAATATGAAGAAGCAGAATCACTGTTAAAGAGTTTACCACTAACCACAAAGTGTTATTCCATCCCTTATCTGCCAGTTATACTGCAGTGGCTTGCATGTTGCTATGGTGCTGGAAGCAGGTTTCAATGGAGCTTCCACAGAAAAACAGACTAGGAAGAAGAACCTAGCTAGCAATCTACTTCTAAATGTATCGACAGTGAAAACTTTACAAACAGCAGCGGAACAGCTGTCTGATACAGTGCTGGAAGGTAAGGCCCTCAGGTTGGAAGGCACTCAAACTATGACTGAAGAGGTGTTATGTCACCAAAGACAGGTCTCCAATAATAACATATATTTAATAAAGATTTTAAGTACCTTCATTTGATGATATACCTCAAAATCAGAAGAAAAGGCTACAATGTCCATTATTAGAACATACTAATTGCGATGGTTAGGTTTTTCGTGCCAACATGGCAAATGTAAGAAGATATGGGTGGAGTTTAGCCTGTTAATCAGGTTGCAGCTTGATGACCTCCTTTGGAGGTACGACCAAGATAAATGGCTCTCTGGAGGCCAGGCCCTCTCTCTTTGTCTGCCTTCACCTTCTGGCTTCCTGATCCTGATGACTGCCAGAGCCCTGGAGATGTGCCCACTGCCATTGGATCCACAAGACTTTGCACCCACCTGCTGGTGATGTTCCTGCATTCTGCATCATTGCATGTGGCTTCATGAGCCTGAGGAGGGACTTATGGATTAGTATCAGACTCACAGACTTGAGTTGGACTGGGCTGGGATGTTTTCCTGATACACAATTACTTCTTGATATAAAGCTCTTTGTTATACATATATGAGTGTCTCTGGACTGGTTTCTCTGGTCAACCTGGCCTAACACACTAAGTATAAATCCAATAAAATTAGAAGTCATCAAAAATGAAAAAGAACACAAGTTAGATATCCTATGGATTAATGAGCTGAAATAGATGGTATTGGCTATTTTGAACCAGCCAATCAAATGGTCTACTATGCTGAGTATAACAAATTAAAGAAGAATGGCATCGCATTCATGTTCAAAAAGAGTATTTCCAGATCTATTATGAAGTGCAACACTGTCAGTGATTGGGCAATATCCATTCACCTCTAAGGAAGACCAGTTAATATAACCATTATTCAAATTTATACAACAGCCACTAATGATAAAGATAAAGACACTGATGGTTATTGCCAACTTCTGTAGTCTGGAAAGATGAAACTTGCAATAGAAATGAATTGATAATTTTGACTGGAATGCAATAGTTGAAAACAAAGAAGGATTGGGTCACAGAAACTATGCTGGAAATAAGATGATTGTATGGCCAATGATTTATTCATTGAAAATACTTTCTTTCAACAACATGAAGTGACTACATACGTGGACCCTGCCAGATAGAATACACAAGATCAAATCAATCACATCTGTACAAAGAGATGATGGAGAATCTAGGATCATTAGTCAGAACATGGCCAGAGACCAACAGCAGCATTAACCTCATATGCAAGACCAATCAAGTCAGATGACATCAAGGACATCATACATTAAAGAAAGCAAAAGACATTTAAAGAAAGGAAAGACCAAAACCGAAGTTGGAAGAAACTCTTGAAAAATATTTAATACTGAGTAAGTGTATTAAAGCAAATGGATGAATGAAGTAAAAGAGATGAACATAAGATTTCAAAGGATGGTGCAAGTACACAAAGTACAATAATGAAATATGCAAAGAACTGGAGTTAGAAGACCAAAATGGGAGAACATGTTCAGCATATGTCAAGCTGAAAGATCTGAAGAAAAATTAAAGCTTCAAGTTGAAATATCAAAGGATGCCATAGACAAAATATTAAATTATACAGGAAGCATCAGAAGATTGAAGAAATAGAGTCATAGTACATAAAAGAATTAGTCAATGTTCACTTATTTCAGGAGGTAGTTTGTAATCCAAAATCAATGCTATTGAAGAAAACATTAAAAATTACACCGAAGGAAAAAAAACAACAACAACAAAAAATAATTACACCGAAGGTATTAATGAAAAATAAGGCTCTAGGAATTGAGTAGAATACTAACTGAGATGTTTCAATGCTCACTCCTCTATGTTAAGAAATCTGGAAGATAAATACTGCCAACTAATTGAAAAAAGTCTGTATTTGGGCCCATTACAAAAAGGTGATCCAACAGAATGCAGAAATTATCAAACACTATCACATGTAAGTAAACTTTTGTTGAAGATAATCTAAAATCGGTACTGCTAAGAACTGATGCCAGATTTTTTAAGAGATTCAGAAAAAGGACTATCACTGGTGATATGAGATAAATCTTGGCATTTGAATATGTAGATCATTAACAAATTATAACTAATATTGCAAAGAAAGGTAATTCCAGAACACTTACTTATATTGATGCAGAGCATGTACATAGTCCTAGAGGTAATTCAGCATATGACACAATCAGAAAAGTGTATGTCAGACCTGTATCCTTTTACCAGACTTATTATTCAATTTGTAAAGTGAGCATATAATCAGATGTTCTGACTTATATGAAGAAAAGTGTTGCATCAGAATGGACAGTCTCATTATCAACCTGTGATTTGCAGATGACACAACTGGTTGCTGAAAGGGAAAAAAAACTTGGGAGTACTTACTGATGAAGATCAAACACTGCAGCCTTCATTATGAATGACCCCAAACAAACAAAAATCCTCACAACTAAACAGACAAGCAACATCACCACAAATGGAGAAAGTACTGAAGTTGTCAAGGATTCATTTTCCTTGGATCTACAAGCAATGCCCATGGAAGATGCAGTCAAGAAATCAACTGACCTATTGAATTGGGAAAATCTGCTGTAAAAGACATCTTTAAAGTGTTCCTTTGAAGAAAAAAGTACACCTGACACAAGCCATGGTATTTGTTGTCATTTCATATCCATGTGAAATCTGAACAATGCATAGAAAAAACCAAAGAAGAATTGATGCATTGAATTAAGGCACTGGTGAAGAAAAGTAAAAATATCATGGATTGCCAGAAAAACAAGCACGTTTGTCATGGAAGAAGTACAGCCAAAACTCTTCTTTGAAGCGATGGTGGTGAGACTTCATTTCTCATACTTTGGACATGCTATCAAGGGAGACTTCTTCCATATCCAAAGTAAGGAGAAAGAAATATAGCAAGAGTGTTCCTTGTAAGCAAGCAAAGATGGCAAAACATCATCTTACATACTTTGTAAATATCGTTAGGAGAGACCAGTTCCTGGAGAAGAACATGCTTGGTAAAAGTAGAAGGGTAGGGAAGGAGAGGAAGGTCCTCAAAGAGACAGACTGACACACTGGCTGCAACAATGGACTCAGGCATAGAAACATAGTCTAAGGATGCAGGACCATACATGTTTCCTTCTGTTGTGCATAGGGCTGCCATGGTATGTAGCCAACTCAATAGCACCTAACAACCTAACATCAATAGGGGAAGGTCTCTAGCAAAAGGTATCATGCTTGGTAAAGTAGAGGGTCAATAAAGAATAGGAAACCCTCAATGAGATGAACTGATGTTGGCTCAGACATGTGAGCCCACTGTGCTGATGGTGCAAAACTTGACAGTGTTTCATTCTGTTGTATTCATGGTTGTCAGAACTGACTCAATGTCTCCTGACAATAAACATGTTATTAACTTAGCAATTGCATTTCTGGGCCCTTAATGCCACAAAATTGTAAACTTATATTTACACAAAATCCTGTACATAAACTATTCTCCTAATCGTCAAAAGCAGATAAAATATCAAGATGTTTTAGTCAAGTGAATGGTTAAAAAGACAGACAGATACAACTCTTTGAAATTCCCAGTAAGTTTGGTTAGTGAAAAAAGCCTCCATTTATATACTATTCACAAAGTGACAAAATTATAGTGATGGAAGTTACTGGTTGCTCCAAGTGAGAAATAGGACAGGAGTTAGGGAAGAGTGAATGAATTTGGCTATAAAAGTGTGGTGAATTTGGTTATAAAAAGCTAATAGCCAATCCCTGTGGTAATGGAATTAGTCTCCATCTTGACTGGAATAGTGAACATAGAAACCTACACATGAATTAATGTGATAGAACTAAATATGCACACATATACACACCATGAATAAAAATACAATTATAAACATATCAATATCATCTGTGAATTCTATCAATGTCAATACCCTAGTTACATTTTACTAACATTTTGTGAAATGTTGTCACCAAGGGATGTGGGTAAACAAAACAGGATCTCTCTATATTATTACTTACATGTAAATCTACAATTATCACAAATAAAAAGCTTGAGTCTTAAAAAAAAAGGTAACACTAACTCAGAATAAGGATGTGAACCTAGATTAGACAGAGAGGATTTTAATAGGTATCATTTCAAAATCACCATTAATAGGTATCATTTCAAAATCACCAGCATTGGGAATGATGAAACACGATGAGGCAGCAGCCTGGTCACTGTGAATAGTTGAGTAATTTGTTCCCCAAAGACTGTTTTCCAGGTTGTTATCTTCAATTTCTGAAAAGTGATAAATAAAATATTGTTAAGTTCTAAAAGACAAGACCTCTCAACCACAAATTCTATATGGAGCCAAACAGTCCTTTCAGGAACGATGAGGCAATGAAGACATTTTCACAGAAAGGAAAACAAAAGAATCTGTACCTAGGTGACTTACCTTTAGAAGGTGACTGAAGAAACATCTTCAAACACACACACAAAAATAGGACGAACAGAGGAATTTTGGAAACAGAAAGAATGGGCAATGGAAAGAAGAGATATATGCATTCAGAGAAAATGGATCACTCATACATTATTAACAGTACAGTCACTCTTAAAAAGATGAGCAGTTTCACAAAAACCTGAATGTAAAACTATCATTTGGGGCAATCATACTAGATAAATGAAAATTTATGCTTACACAAAACCCAGTACATGTATTTCCTATAGAAGATTTACTCATAGAAGCCAAAATTTGGAAACCTTCAACTGTCCATGATGGGTAAAAGATAAACAGTGGTACATCCATACCATGAAATAGTGCTTGGCTATGAAAAAGAAGGTACTGATACACTCAGCAATTAAAATGAATTTCACAGTTATGTTTAGTGAACAAAAGTCTATCCCAAAAGCTTCCAGAATATATGATTCCATTTATATTACAACACTAAATTGAACAAATAACAAAAAGGAAGATTAGATCAATGGTATTCAGGGGTTCCAGATGGAGCAGGGAAGGGAAGGGTGACCAAGGAAAGTGACTGTAATAATAAAAGGTCAACATGAAAGATCTGGATGGTGACTGTGCAGTGATGAACATACAAACCGAAATATATGAGAAAATTGTAGAAAACTAATACATGAACACAAGGAGTTCTCGGTTGCTAATTCCAAGGTCAGCTGTTCAAATCCACCCAGTGGATCTATGGGGACGGGGGAGAAGACATGGTGATTTGCTTCCATAAAGATTACAGACTAGAAACTTCGATGGGCAGTTCTACTCTATTGTAACCAGTTTCTATGAGCAAGAATTAGAACCCTGGTGGTCCAGTGATTAAACACTCGGCTGCTAACTAAAAGGTAAAAAATACTCCATAACTTTCATGAGAAAGCTGTGCCAGTCAGTCTCCTTCCATAAAGATTTACAGCCTTAGAGACCCTATGGGAGCAATAATATCTAATAGCATGGCTATGAGTCAGAATCAACAGCAACAGGGGTCTCAGTTGGAATCAACTATACAGCACACAATAACAACACAAATATATCCCTGACCCTCCTTTCTCTGTTGCTTCAAGGAAATAGATCAAGTGTGCCTTAGATAGCTGTTTGCAAGCTTTCAAGACCCTCGCTGAAAGAAAAAAATAACTCACTGGCATCAAGTTGATACCAACCTTACAAGGCAGGGTTGAACTGCCCCTGTGAGTTTCTGATACTAACTCTTTTTGGAGTACAAAGCCCTGTCTTTCTCCCAAAGAGTCACTGATGGTTTCAAACTGCCAAGCTTCCAGGGCTCCACAAAAACTAGAAAGTACAACAGAACCACTACACACATTATTAGACCAATTAACTGGAATTTCCCTCTGTATGGCACCAAACTGACAACAGCAACTCCAAAGACAGGACAGGAAACTTAGGGGGAAGTGAGTTTATGTCAATGAAGGAAAAACAACTTGAAGAGGGAGCGACTGTTTGCATAACTCAAGGATTGTCATCAATATCCAAAAAATTGCTGAATCCTACTGTGTATTTTCTCACAATAAAAATTAAATAAATTCAAAGTTTTAATGGGAAAAGGAGCTGTCACTGGCTGTGTTAAAAATGTTGATGAATCTAGATTAAATAGTGAAACTTGTACTATGTATTATTTCAATTTCACCAAAATTGGAAAGGGTTAAGATAGCTGAAGAGGTGGTATCTTGGCCATTATCATTTGGCTCATTCATTATCTCAGGGTTCTTTTCCACGCTCATGTCAGGTCTTTCCAGTGTTTCTAAAAGTAAAATGTTTTCCAGTGCTGGTAAGACAAAACTCTCAACTGTAAATTCTATATTGGGTGAAACGACACTCCAGGAAAGGAGGGAAAATGAAAATGTCACATGAAAGCGAACTAAAAGAATGAGTCCCTAGCTGACTTACCCTTAAATAAAGGCTAACGGAAAATCTTCACAAGAACGGATATGATGAAAAAGATACTCTTGACGCATCATGAAGGAAGAAAAAAAATCAATGGAAAGAGCACAAATATGGTGTTGGAGAAACTGCACCATTTTGCTTCTGAGACTACCAAGCAGTACAACCTCCCTGGTAAATAGTTGGTAGTTTCTCAAAAACAAAAGACAAAACAACTAAACATGCAAGCTCAGCATTGGGCTGTTGGGCACACAAGCAGCAGAGTCAACATGTGTATCTAGAAATGTGTATTTGTTCCCGGCCCAGTTACTCCTGCCACAGCATGATGTTTGTATGCAAAGACTTCAAGGTGTTCCTATTTTGTAAATCCAAATGTTGTAAAAACTTTAAAAAGAAACTCAACCCTCCCAAGGTCAGGTGGACCAAGCTATTGGTAAAGAGCTTACAGTGGATAATTCATTTGAATTTGAAAATTGTAGAAATGAACCTGTAAAGTGTCAGCGAGAGAAAACTATTGCTGCAATGAAGTTGAAGAGATGAAGCAGAAACACTAAGCTACATTCATTTGAACAGGTTAAAGAAAAATGAAGAGCTACAGAAAATTCAGGACATCAAAGCTAAGCAAAACATCCATCTCATCTGGGCACCTCTTTCAGGCAAAGGAAAGCAGCTGGAAGACAAAATGGTACATAAATTAAAAGAGGACATAGATATGGAAGATGTTTCTTTCAAATCTTGCTGTCTGTAACCCTTTCTATATGTGCACTTGAAAATTTTGGAGACTTGGAACTCCTAAATGATCAGTTTATTTGTAACATAAGGTCACTCCGATGAAAGGTGATTAAAAATGTCTCTCTCCTACATTGCTGTCTATAAAACATCAGATATTATGGATGTTCAATCATATCAGTGTTAAATCTTCACTGGTAGATATACTTACATAAATCATGAAAATTATTTTTGTTACTACAGAAATTAGTTGTGGATATAAAGGGTACATGTTTGGATAAGCAGTAAGTAGCATTCATATGATGAGAAAAAGTCATAGCTGATATATAAAATGGGTGTTTTTACCGTGGAAAAAAAAACCTAAACATGCAGTTAACATATGACCCAGTGATGTACATGTACATTCAAGGCAGTTTTACTTCTAAGAGCCAAAATCAACAGGGGAAAATCTCCTTCAGTAGATGAGTAATTAAATCATGATATACCCATACCACTCAGAAATAAAAAGGGACTACTGCTATTCATAACAATTTGGATGAATCTCTAAGGAAATATGCTAAATGGTAAAGTGAGTATCAAGACATTACATTATTTGAGTCTAATTACATGATCATATTGAAGTGTCAAAATTATAGTTGGGAAACAAACCAATGATTGCCAATTTTAGGGGTAGGAGAGTGCTAAAAGGAAACAAAGATTTCGCCCAAGTTGTCGCCCCCACATATATGCCAAACTTAGCTGCTTGTTACACATGGTAAATGACTATACACTTGAAAGTCAACAAAAGTAGACCAGGGTTTATTCTCTCTAAGGGTTATCAGGCATCTAAAGCAATCAGACTGTATAGTCTGTCCTACCCAAAATAGGGCCCACTCCCTTCTGATAAGGATTGTAGTAAACTGTTTCCCTGAAGAAGAGCCCAGGAAGGTCAAGCCCACTCAAGGGTGACCAAGGTTAGGCAGGCATCATGAATCTAGGCTAGGGTTCGCCCTTCCTGTCACATGTATACCCCTAGTCCTTCCCCTTCCTATCACGTGTACACCCCTAGCTCATCCCCTTCCTATTATGCCTATGCCCATTGTATGTGCCCCTCCTATTGCTTGTATTGCCTATTGTACAGCCCCCTTCCTGTGACGTGTGGTTACCTGTAATCATGCCCCCTAAGTAGATATAAGCTTTGGTTAGCAATAAAGCTCTCTCCTGCTCTCTCTTCCCTGCCCTCTCGGTCCATGCTGTGCATGAACCTAGCTGTTGAGATCATGGCCATCCAGGAGGTAAGCATGCTACCATGAAATGTGTCTGACTTCTTTATTTTACTCTCTCCTGTCTCTCTCATTCTCTATGACTGTATTATAATAGTTATATATCTCAACTGTACAATTGCACTTACTGAACCCGTGATTAGTTGTGGGGGGCTGGCCTCTCCCCCACACTGGAGGGTGGTGGGTATAGCTGTTAAAGGGCAATACTAGTCATATGATAAAACTACCTACAATGCACACACTATCACTAGTTTTCAGTAAGGATATTGATGAATCTAGCTAAGGGAAGTACAATAATGTGTCATTTCAATCTCACCCAAATTAGTAGGGCTACAGAGAGATGGTGAGGGTTTATTTATGTTTCCAGTGAAGCTGAGCAACTCTTCTCAAAGATTATTTGCCAAAACACTGGGCCCCTGTGACAGAATGGCTGTAGGTATTGCTATTATAGCTTGGGCAGATAGACCATTTTTTTCAGTGCTACTTTCATTGAAAAAGTAGGACATTATAGTGATTCTAGGAAATGGTTTACCTGATGGAAGATAGGGCTTCAGTAAACGTGTGAATATGATTTGGGGAAGAGGTGGACTCTTCCTATGGATCTCTTCCTGCTCTCTGAGAACTGCCTCTCCCTCAATGAGAACTGGCTCCTCTACCAAGAGGAGTAGAGGCTGTGGCTGCTCCCTGAGAACAGGGTCCTCCACAATTGGGACTGATTCCTCCATCTTGGGAACTAGTTCCTGCTCCATCTGGTGCTCCTCCTCCATTCCGAAGACTGGTTCTTGCTCCTCGAGAATTGGCTGCTCTTCACAGTGTGCTGCTGCTTGGAGAGATGTTCCTACAAGGTTGGTATGACCATGATTTCTTTGCCTTTGTACTGGTAATGAAAGGCGACAATTATTCTGTTCAGAGTAAAAGAATAGAATGAGTTAGGTCATTTTCTTTTTCGTTCTGGACTTCAATTTCTCCATGAAGTATATGCTCAAAACTTTTTATGTTAATCTGGATGACCTTTGGTAGGAGTCCTGGTGGTGTAGTGGTTACCCTTTGGTCTGATAACTGTTAGGTCAGCAATCCGACACTACCAGTCCTCAAGAGATAGAAGGGGCTTTCTAATTCCATGAAGAGTTAGTCTCAGAAACCCACAGGGGCAGTTCTGGTCTATCCTACAGGGTTGCTATGAGTCAGAATCCTTGATGGCAGTGAGTTTAGAGATGACCTTTAAAATGACAAAAACTCTAAATAAATAAATAAAATGATTTTTTTAAACCCAATACAAACAACTGTGGTTTAAAATGTAGATTTAAAAGATGGTAAATGCAATAAATCTTATGTTACCAGTAACATTATTTTCTATACTTTAAAAATACTGTATTTTAATAATATGCATTGAGTCATCTTCAACCCTATAGTCTAAAATTTCACTTATATATCATTATCAAGGTTACAAATACAAAAAATACTAATTATGTCACACCTTTGGAGCCACCACGGAGGCTTTGTGGTCACAAGTTCAGAAATCTGAAACCACCAGTCACTCTTACAGAGAAAGACAAAGCTTTCTACTACCGTAAATAATAATAGTCTCAAAAAACTCAAAAAACAGGGACAGTTCTATAGGGTTCGTATGAGTCAGAATTTACTCAATGGCAAGAAGTTTGGGTTTGATTGTTTGTTTGTTTGTTTGTTTGTTTGTGGGGAGTGTTTTTAGCCATGCCTTTAAAACCTAAATTTCACTGTTCTTGCAATACTTTTAATCTACTATCAGCTATTAAGGGAAGTACATATCTGCTCTGCTAATTTCAGACTTTTTCTTTTTCTACCACATTTAAGATACAATTAGTATCTTTAGGAATTGGGGATTTATCAGAGTTGAAAATATTTTTATAACACTTACATCTTTTGGTAACAATTGTTCACTCAAAGTCCGGTTCATTTCTGAGACAAGTCCACCAAGGTTTTTAACATCTCTACTCGTCTTATCAATAAGTTCTTGCAAGGCCTGTTATAACGAAAAAAATTTTAGTTCTTATTTTAAAAGTTAACATTAAATTTTCACCTACATCAACATTAAAGTGTTTTAAAAGTTAAAGGAAAAAGAAGTAACATACAGAATGCCATCAAGTCACATTTTTACTGCTAGAGATAAAGTTCTCAAGCTCTCAGGAATTTCTTGTTTCTTAATTGATGGACAAATGGCTGAGATGAACTTTCTAGTAAAAGTCTTTATTCCATACAGACATTGAAAGGAGCTTAAATACCGCAAAGTGTGCCACAATCCATGTAACCCATCACATTTATAATGGGCCTTTTCACACCAATGAGGGTGCAGTTTTAGGAAAGGAAAAAAAATCACATATATAGTGTCACTAACAGACACGTTATAAGAGAATTTATGTGGGAAAATAGTTTTGAAGCTAAGATTCTATATACAGTATGAGATGAATAAAATATCTTCATATATACAAAAACTCTGAAAATTATCTCATAAGCACTTTTCTAGAAAAATTTAAGACTTGGATAAATGAAAAAGAAAGTAAAAGCAGGAGAATCCAAGAATCAGGAAGATATGGTATATTCATTTTCTCGGGTTGCTATAACAAAGTACCACAAACTTGGTGGCTTATAACAAATGTATTGTCTAGTTTTTCTGGACAAAATCAGGTATCTAACAATTGTGACTAGGCAGTGTTACATTCTATTGTACATAGGTCACTCTGAGTCAGAACTGACTCAGTACACACCTAACAACAACAACACAAAGAGTAAAAATAAATAGGTGGATTAACCAAGTTTAAACATATGGAAGACAAAAATGAATATAACTGCAATGGAAAAGTAGACAAATCCACTATTATAATTGGATGATTTAAACACCTCTCTCTATCAGTAATTGATAGGTCTAACAGGTAACTCAGTAAGGATACATACGAATTAAATAGTACCATCAATGAACTGGATTTTTAAAAAATAAATCATTTTATTGTGGGCTCTTATGCTCATAACAATCCATACATCAATTGTATCAAACACATTTATACATATGTTGCCATCATCATTTTCAAAACATTTTCTGTCTACTTGAGGCCTTGGTATCAGCTCCTCTTTTTCTTCCCTCCCCCCAACCCCATTCCACCTTCGTGAACCCTTGATAAATTATAAATTATTGTTGTTTTCATATCTTACACCCACCATGTGCCGTTTCCCTTCACCCACGTTTCTGTTGTTCATCCCCCTTTGGGGAAGAGGAGGGTGATATGCTGATCTTTACAATCAGTCTCCCCTTCCTCCCCCTGGATTTAACAAGCATTTATAAAATACTTCATATAGTAACGGCAAAATACACATCTTCTCAAGCACAAAGAACAATCATCAAGATAGGTGATATTATGGACCATAAAACATACGTTAATAAATTTAAAAGAGTGGAGAGTATGCAAATTATGTATGCTTTCAAATTACAGTGAAATTAAGCTAGAAATGAATAACAGAACTATAGCTAGAAAAATCCCCAAATATTTGAGATTAAACAAGACATCTCTAAATAACACAGGGTCAAAGAGTAGTATGAAGAAAAAATTAAACTATATTGAACGAAATGAAAAGACAACTTATCAAAATTTACAGAATGCCTTAGAAATAGAAGAAAATTTAATATAATAAAGGGCAACATGATATTAATGGTGAAATATAGACAGTTTACCTCTAAGATCAGAATCAAGACAAGGATTCCCACTTTCACCACTGCTACTACATATTGTATGCAAAGTCCTGAGCAGAGCAGTTAAGCAAGAAATTAAGGTACCCACATTGTTAAGGAAGAAGCAAACTATTGCTAGATAACATAATCCTAAATATAGAAAACTTGCAAAGAATCCACAAGAAAGCCAGTAGAGATAATAACAAATTCAGCAAAGTTGTAGGGTACAAAATCAACATAGAAAAATCAGTGTGTTTCTTATACCAGTAACGAATAATCTTAAAAGGGAATTAAGAAAATAATTTCAACCCGATCCAGGGATACATATGGCAGCCAACTAAAAAGGAAGGGAGAAGAGATTTTTAAAAAAAGACATGGTAGTGAGGGAACAGGCCACTAACCCACCCAAGGGGAGGGTATTGTTTATAACCCCACAGGAGAGGGAGAGGGGCCAGATTTCAACCTGGTGTGCCAAGACATGAATGCAACATACCAGCATGAAGCAGGGAACCAATAGAGAGGTCTACAGGGCCAGCCCCAATCCCAACTATGTGGACCACCACCACCACCACCCCACCACCCCCACACAGAATAATGTACTGCAGGGGACAACACTGAAGCTACAGGTCAGGGAGAGGGGTCCGTCTGATCAGAGCACACAGAAGCAAACTATGAGAAAGAAGAGAGGGTGGAACACATCCTGGTCCATCAAGTCCTAAGGGTGATATTCCTGCTCAGAGCAGTCAACGAACAGAAAGGACCATAGGGCTAGCCCCGCCAGGAGACACAAAGTCCCTCACTGACCCATAGCACTATGGAGGACAACACTGGAGAGATAGTGAGGGAACTGTGCCCGATCTGAACCCACCACACCAGGGTGAAACACTAAGGGTGTGCAACAGAGCAGCAAGGGGTGCAAAGCAATGAAGTCCCTGAGAAACACCAAAATTAGACTTTGGGACCAGGGCATGGTACCCCATCAGACTCAACTGGAAAACACTCCTAAAGATCAACAAACTGACCTGGAACTAATTATACGCTTTTCTTTTTTTGTTGTTGTTTTGTTTTGCTTTGTCTTGTTTTTGTCCTTATTATTGTCTCTGCAGTCTATCTAGATAAGATATGTGGGATAAACAATCCGGAGGAGAAAACAACAGGATCTACAGTTCAGGGAGGGGCACGGGAGAGAGAGAGGCAGGTGAAAGGAAGAAGAGTGTCAACAAATTCAGGGACAAAGGAACAACAAATGATCTAAAAATCGATGGTGAGGAGGGCATAGGATGCTGGCTGGGGTTTGATCAAGAGCAATGTAGCCGAGAGGAATTACTGAAACCCAAATGAAGGCCAAACCTGATAGTGGTACAAGAAGAAAGTAAAAGGAAATAGAAGAAAGAACTAGGAGCATCTGGGTTCTTAAAAGTTTGAAGATAAGCAAGCGGCCATCTAGCTGAGAAGCAACAAAGCCCTCATGGTAGAAGCTCATCAACCTTGTGTGATCATGAGGAGTCAATGGAATCCGGTATCAGTCATCAAAGACCCAGAACAAAAAAAATCATATCAATGCGAATGAGGCAGTGTGGAGTGGAGACCCAAAGCCCACCTATAGGCAATTGGACATCCCCTTACAGAAGGGTCATGGTGAGGAGACAAGCCAGTCAGGGTGCAGTATAGCACCGACAGAACATATAACTTTCCTCTAGTTATTTAATGCTCCCCACACACATACACGCACACATTTCATGACCCCATTTCTACCTTACAAATCTGGCTAGACCAGAGCATGTACACTGGTACTGATAAGAGCTCAGAACACAGGGAATCCAGAACAGATAAACACCTAGGGACCAATAATGAGAGTAGCAATACCAGGAGGGGAAGGGGAAGGTGGGGGGTAGAAAGAGGGTACCGATCACAATGATCTACATATAATCTCCTCCCAGGAGACAGACAAGAGAAAAATGAGTGAAGGGAGACAGCGGTCAGTGTAAGACATGAAAAAAAATAATTTATAAATTATCAAGGGTTCGTGAGGGAGGAAGGGTCGGGGAGGAGGAAAATGAGCTGATACCAAGAGCTGAAGTAGAAAGAAAATGTTTTGAACATGATGATGGCAACACATATACAAATGTGCTTGACACAATGGATAGATGGATGGATTGTGATAAGAGCTGTACAAGACCCCAATAAAATGATGTTTTTTTTTAATTTCATTTACAAAAGCATCAAACACCTAGGAATAAATTTAACCAATGAAGTAAAATACTTGGTCACTTTTGAAAATGTTAAAAGAAAACATGAACAGATGCAAAAATATTCTGTGCTAATAAATTGGAATTTTTAATACTATCAAGAAGGTACAATTCTCAAAGTGATCTAGATTTTGTGCAGTTCTCACTGAAATTTCACTGTGCTTTTCCCAAAAACGTAAAACCTAAAATTCATATGGAATTTCAAGGAGGACCTTAAGTAACCAAGCAACCTTGAAGAACAAAGTCAGAGGACTGATTACGTAACTTGCTCCAAAAAACCAGTAATCAGTCTAACAGACCAGACAAAGCACAGCCTCTACTAACCTGAGATCAGAATAACTAGACAGTTCCCAACTATCACTCCATACCTACTGCTCTTATCAGGATCACATGGGGGGGGGGGGCAAGGGAGACGTGAACATAATTCAAAATAATAAAAAACACCAGATTTATTGGTTTGATAGAGACTGATGAAACCCCAAGACTATGACTCTAGACATGTTTCAAACTGAGCCCACTCCTGGAGATCACTTTTCAGCCAAACAATACTAGCGTATAAAGTGAAAAAATGCATACATAAGGAAAATACTCAGAGCAATCAAGCATATGAGATGACCAAAAGGGCAATGTTTTTCCCCAAACAGAGGTCACAATGTATGAAGGGGCAGGACTAATGAGAAAATGAAAATGGAAAACCCAGGGAGAACATGGGAGAGAGTGCAGTTACACTGAGGGGGTTGCAACTAATGTCACAAAATAGAATGTATATAAATTGCTAAGTGAGACACTAATTTGTTCTGTAAATTCCCACCCAAACCACAATAAAATGTTCCCCCAAAGTACTAACAACACAGTGATCAAAGTAATGTATTACTGGCATAAGAATTAAGACATACAAAGGGGCTTCAACGTTTGTGGGAAAGTTCCATTAATTTTTCATTCTAATTTTCCACATACTTTTTGAAGCCCCCACATATAAGCCAATTGAAGACAATGCAAGTCCAGATACACATCTCTATGAACATTTTTCTATTGTGGTAAAAATACATTATA